CTGGCAGAGTTACGTCCAGAAGTGCCACATCTTAGAAAGTTGGTATCCTTGCTTTATAAACTTGGTTAGCTAATGAAAATCATACAACAGAGCCATTACATCATAAAGAAGACATCAATCATTCCTGTACACTCCCTTATTCCCTCCTTCAGTATATCGCATCTATGTACATGTTTCCCACACTTGCATGAAATTTCTCTGGTGCAAAAGCCGATTACAAAAAGCAAGAAAGCAACAGTTAGGTTAAACCAGTGTTTCTCAACCTTGACAATTTTAAGGCATGTGGACCAACTCCCAGAATTCCACAGCCAGCGTTGCTGGCTGTGGAATTCTGGGAGTTGAAGTCCACATGCCTTAAAATTGTCAAGGTTGAGAAACACTGGGTTAAACAATTTCCCTTTGTTCCAGAACCCTTCAGTATAGTGGTTAAGGTGCTGGCCTAAAAATCAGGAAACTATAGTTCTAGTCCTGCTAGACCAGTTACTCTCTCTAGGTACCTAGTTATCTACACTTAACTGGATCAAGAGCGGGTCTTGGCATGTTTGCTGGACAACAAAATCAAATTAGCAATGGGGAAAGAGAAAGTTAGCTTTACCTTGTAATAGTTTTGGTTAAGTTTCCCCAGTGAGTCATGTCATATGAATGACTCTTGTCTTCATATTATATGAACAAAATATTTCAGTTTTAGCTTCCAGTGAGCAATCTGATTTTTATTTCATCTGTTACTGAATTATTTATTTTTTCTTAGAGTCCAAGGTATTTTCAACAATCTCTTCAACTCCATAACTAAGTATAATAAATATGTTCTTTTATAAACTGCTAACTGCTTAGAAAAAGCAACAAAGGACATTTTTCAATATCAGAAATTAAGGCACAGAATCTCTTAAGTATCTGTGTTGGGACCAATGCTTTTTAATACGTTCATAAGCTGCCAGACTTTTTGTCACGCACAGCAATTGGAAAGTCAACCTCACACTCAATAATATTTTATGCCACTGAGAGTCATTATGGATTCAGGCTGCCCTAATAAGTTGATAAAAAATAAAAAGCTTCTAGATTGATATAATGACTCTTACTAGCCTGAGGTTTTTGATTTCCATCTCATTAGCTTCAGCTCTTGTGTAAATAACCTTCACTGAGGTAAGATATTAGCTGTTCCAATTTGCAGATGGTAGTAAACTATTCATACAAATCTATGGTACTTCCATACACTGAACAATGAGTGAAATTCTACTTGAAAAAATGATATACAATAAAATCTCAATATAACAGATTTTGTGTATAATGGACCAATTTTTTCTGTGGGTTTGTATTACTGGTGTCAAGATTCACTTTATTTGCTTCATATTATTTATGTAATATTATTGCACTAATGATGGTATAATGGAAGTCACACTTGCTTGAATTTGGGTTATATTATTATACAAATGACTTATACCACACAAATGTGATAATATAAAAGAACATAGATGATTAATATCTGTCATCTATATAGTGACATCATCACAATGATGTAATCCATGATCTAACAGATATTTCTTCCCTCCACCAGATTAATTATATCAAGATTATATCAAGGTTTCACTGGTGGAAAAAAAGCAGAAGGAGGCACCCAAATTTATTAGGTTCGCCTTCACCTTCTCCAGAAGGTGGAGTACACCAACTCTGTCATCTCTTATCAGCAGGGCAGAAACCATGGGAGGTACATGTCATCATTTTGCCTCTCAGTAATTCCAAATATTCTATTCTTTTCTTCTGAATTAGTACAATTATTTAATACAATAAATAACTGTATTAAATCAAAAATAATTCAAAGAAAGTGTAACACCGTACATAATTAACCTGTGGAATTTATTACTCCAAGACACAGTGATGACCTGGTAGTTTTAAAAGAAGACTGAATAAATTCAAGAATGGCCGTTCTATCAGGCGCTTCTGATCGTGAGCTTCAGTGTTATCTCTGAGCAGATGGCAGAAAACCTCCAAATACTAGCTGAAGGGAACAATGGTGAGAGGGAAAGTGTGAGCCCTGGACATTTAACTGGCCACTGTGAGAAACAAAACAATGGACTTTGGCCAACCCAGAGTGTGATATTCTTATGATTTGCTTAAGAATCAATATTATAAAATTCACTCCATTGTAAATCAAATTCATGCAGAAGCTTATCTGATTTTAGTCCAGACTCTTGTCAAGACACTTTGCTGCACCAGAAAGAATTGCAAATATTTCTTTCAAACTTCTCTGTGTATTATAGAATATGGAAAGCTGCCTTATACAAACTATATTTATACAATGCACTATGCCTGTCTTAACTTTTACTTAATAAACCTCTTGACCTTGAAGGCCCCCCTGTGAGTTACAATAGTCTGGGCCTCTGCAGCTGCCTCATCAACAGGTAACTGTTGATAGGCCTGTACCAGATGAAGCTTCGCAAAAATGCACCCCCCCTTGAGGGAGGCCAGAATGTAACTTACCACAGGCACTGGATAAGTGTGCTCTTGCAGCGTCTTATTCAGTGTGCACTTGTAGTATGCACATATACGTATGTCCCCATTAGCCTTTAGAGGCGTTACTATGGGGGTTTCCCATGGACTTGAATCCACAGGTTCTAGAATGCCCTGCTGGAGCAATTTGTCCAGCTCAGCATCAATCTTGCCCTTGAGGGCAAAAGGTACCCTCCTAGGCTTAACCCTGATGGGTGTGGTGGTTGGGTCTAACCGTAGCGAAATTGGAGGCCCCTTGTAGGATCCTAGCTCTGAACTAAACACATCTGCAAATTCCTTGCAGACTTCTCCAAGGCTCAACGTTTGCAAGTGGGGCAGCCCAGTTACCTGGATTCCAGAGCCTCGAACCAATTGAGTCCAATAAGACTTGTACGTTCACCCCCAACAACCACCACATCTAAGGAACCTTCAAAATCCTTATGCTGTACTCTAAAGGTGGCCTCCCCCTTAACACACACCATAGAATTCTGAAAATCTGTAAGTATTAGATTGGATGGCCTGAGTTTAACTCGAAGGCCACTGCTGCTGCATATCCTTTTGAATGTGTTAATAGAAATAATGGAGAGGGCGGACCCTGTGTCCAGCTCCATTGATAAGGGAACCCCTTGCAACCTTACGTTAATGGAAAGTTTTTTCTTAAGGGGCTTATGTGTCCCTGTCGTCAAAATACTCCTGCGCAATGCGCAGAAACCCAACCTATGTTGGCTGGGGACCTTGGTACCTTTCAGATGCAATTCTTCACGAGGTTGGACTTTCTGGCAATCCAAACAGACGGATGCGATGTGGCTTTGCCTGCCACACGCTCTGCAAATGGCGGAGCGGAACCTGCAGTCAGTTCACTTGTGGTGTCCTCCGCACCCGAAGCATTGAAGAGATGCTGGGGCCTTGTCCGGGCATTCCTTCTGCCTCCTTCCAGCTGGCTGGTGAAGCCTATCCACCTCTTCTTCAGGATCCGCTTCCGATCCTTCTTGAGCGTCCTCTTGATGGACTGTAGCTGTTTCTGGAGGGTTCCTGGTGGGCCGTAAAGCCTTCACAGCCCTGCCTGCTGCTTCCTCATCTGTCACCTCTCGTAGCGCATCTTGGACAGAGACATCTTCTTTTGCAAAAATCTTCTGCTGTAAGTCTCTGTTCCTCAAACCACATATGAAGCGATCTTGCAGCCTCTCTTCCAGATTCTTGAACTCACAAGGTCTGGCTGCTTGCCTTAAGGCTGCAATAAAGTCCGTAGCAGATTCACCCAGCCTCTGGTCTCTCTGCTCAAATGCGTGCCTCCAAGCAATGACGGATAACTTCGGCTGGAAGTGCTCCTTCAACATCTTTTTTAAGTCAGTATATGTTACTGACTCTAGAGGTGCAGGAGCCGCCAGATTTTCTGCAATGTCAAAAGCTTCTTGTCCACAAGCACACAAAAGAGTTGCTGCCTTCAGGCCGTCTTCTCTTATCTGATTTACTCTGAAGTAATTCTCCACCCGTGCTACGTATGAAGTCCATCTCTCAGGGTGTGAGACATCAAAATCAGACAAGCAGCCAATCTTTGCCATCCTCTAGTTTACAACCTTCACCATTCCTTCTTCTGCAAACTTCTATTGGGGAAAGGGTCCTTTAGCCGAGCTCACCCTCCAGCGACGCTATACTGACAGGCTGGGATGCTGATTCAGACGCCGTCTTCCCCTCTTCAGGACTTCCTGGGTAAGTCCTTACAGCTTTTGTTTCTTTAGCTTGCAAAGGATCCCACCTTCGTTGCCAGTGGTAAGTACTTCGTTCACGTGCGAATGATCAAGACACATGACGATGTTAACAGCTCTTTATTCTTCTTCTAACAACTGAACGAACCCCAAAAGGCACACAGGCCTTTTTATGTAGCCAGAAACTCGGACAATGGCAAACAAAGTAACAGAGTGTTTTCTGCGCCTTGCGCATGCGCAGAAGGCTGGCGCCGCTCTGTCTGGTCCTGGGCAGCAAACACCTTGCACATGCACACCAGGCTGGCGCCGCTCAGTCTGATCCCGGGCAGCTTTTGAATGCCTGGGACCATTGCAACATCCCAAGCCTGCTTTTGCAGGCTTAGGACACAACATCTTCCATGCAATATATAAACTATATTATTGGATTCATACAGTAGGCTTACTTGTGGATAACTTTAAAATGGTTAGCCCAAGGAACCAGTTCTGAAGCTTTACATGACATGCTGAACTGTAAACTAATCCCGAGGACTAGATCCATGCAACATACTGTAAGGTCCCAGTCCCTTACTTTAACTCAGTGGTTCTCAACCTGTGGGTCGGGACCCCATTTGGGGTCGAACGACCATTTCACAGGGGTCGCCAAACAAGGCTGTCCGCCATTTTTTCCCCTTTTCTTTGGCCCCACCCCTGGCACCCGGTGATGTATAAGTGGTTTGGGGTCACCACAACATGGGGAACTGTATTATGGGGTCGCGGCATTAGAAAGGTTGAGAACCACTGCTTTAACTTGAGAGACCATATCAATCTAATCAGATAACCCAAGCGGAGACTTCTTGATCAAGCAGCACTATTTGATCAAATTAAGCAACTGGGTAGCCAACAATCTAGAACGCTGGCAGAGTTCGTCCAGAAGTGCCACACCTTAGAAAGTTGGTAGCATTGCTTTATAAACTTTATTAGCCAATGAGAAACAGACAACAGAACCATTGCATCATAAGAAAGACATCAATCATTCCTGTATATTCCCTTATTCCCTCCTTCAGTATATCCCATTTATGTACATGTTTCCCACACTTGCATAAAATTTCTCTGGTGCAAAAGCTGATTACAAAAAAGCAAGAAAGCAACAGTTAGACTAAACAATTTCCCTTTGTTCCAGAACCTTTCAATACTAAAGTAGGGTGGCCAGTTTAATGCTTACTTATCATTAAATAGCCAAACGAGCTCTATTCCTTTTCGTTTTACATTTGAAGCAAAATTCCCAGAACTGCATCTTACTATCCCAGATTAGGAAGATGCAATTCTGTGAATTTCTGCTTTAAATGCAAATGAAGGAATAGAGCTTGTTTGGCTGTGTAGCAACAACAGTAATAGGCCAGACCAACTGAAAAATCAAGTTAAATCATAAATGGTATGGTTCGGGCTGAGCATGTTGCTTGATTCTCATCCATCGGAGTTTATGAACTAAATGTGGCTTTTTCAACAACCATAACTAAAAGAAATCATGTATTCACATGACTCACGTGTGAATCCAGCCTCTATTACAGATCTGCTTCCCTTTCAACTCTGAACCACCTTTTCGCCTTAATAATCGGGCCTGGGGGAGACTGCGCGTGCCCGCGTCCCCTCCACTGGTTGCTTTCGCGGCTTCTGGCGCGAAGCGCCTCTTCCCTGAGTCGGCTTGTTCTGCGTGCAAACGACAACCGTCCGCTCATCGGAGTTGAGCTGCATCTACTCGGAGCCGTCATTCCTCGTGGAACCGAGGAGGTAAAATTTGCTCCGGACCGTGTGACCAATGGGAGGGCCGTAGCCAGCCGGGTTACCTCTATCCCTTCTTTCCTCCCGTCCGTTTTTCTCCTCCGCGCAGAAGAACCACAAAGAGCCTGAGGCTAGAAATGGCAGCTTTCCGCTCCAAGCCCCTAGCCTAGACGGCCACTTCGTCAAGCAGGTAAGCACTTCAAGTAGGGCGGCAGTCGGGAGAGAGGACAGAGCAATTTAGGAATGGTTCCTTCGCTTTTCTGCAATTGAGATAGATTCGTACGGTAACGGCTGGGTTGCCGCCCTCCGAGCGCCCCGGACGGTTCACTCAGTTGTGCACTTTGGAGCCGCCTAAGACGTCCGCTCGTGCCTAAGAGGGTCGCTCAAGGCTGCTGGCGGGATTTTGGGGAGCGTGGTGCGAGGTGGGCGAGAAGGCGCTAAGCGGAGCCGCGCGCGGTATCTTTTGCAGAGATAAATACCGTCGTGAGTGACTTTAGTCCGGTCTAACTGGGAGCTAGGTGGTTGGAAGTAAGCGGAATAATACTGGAATAAGGAGAATAGGAACCCGACTGTTTTATATGCACAACTTTTCTCAACTTGGGTCCTTGATCTGTGTGAGCAGAATCAGACTGGATGGGGTTTATGGGAATTGTGGTGTCCAGGTTTGAGAAAGCAGCATTTAATCCTGTGTTAAAACAGGGTTTTTGAAAAGGATTATTTTCTTCGCTTTTAATTTTGTCATTTTATAATTCCCTGCAGTGTATGAGAAATGTATACAAAAATGTTGTATTTGTACTTTATAGAATACTATAATTATGTTTAACTGAAAATAGTGTACTCCATCTAGAATGCAAGGGTGGAGTAACTTTAGTGATAATACTCTGCCTATCCCAGTTAAATTCTGTAGTGCAGTTGGGGGCGAGAGAAGGTCTAATTTTCTACAAAGGTTATTTTAAGATTACTATATAAGTAATTAAGAAAATGAAAAACTCCAAAATCATGGTAGGGCTCTTTAACAGCTCTACAAAGATTTCATGCATAGCATGTGTTGAAGTAAATGTTTATCTTTCTTTTGCCTCAATCACTGAAGTTACTTTAAGTGGCTTACATACCTGGATTCAAACAAATATTAATAACTAATCTTTAAAAATTTGCAATATTATGCCTATTGATATAGTAATGACTCATATTAAAGATGACCAAGTATCTGTTTGATAGAGGTTGTTTCCTAGGAGTTATTAGGAAAGACCTGCTTTTACAGCCCTGAACCTTCTCAGTGTCTATTGATTTAGGACCAATTAATTTCTGAATACAGATATGAAGCTTAATGGTGAATGTGTATCATTAGGATCAATTGCATTTTATTTCAGTAAGATTTGCACAACATATTATTTGATAGGGTCTGTAATAGAAAATAGAACCAAAATAAAAGTAGAATTGCTCAAAACATCCTATCTCGTTTTTGTTTCTGTAAATGGGAGTATATGAATAATGTCTAAATAAAAAATAAACAGTAGTTAAACTGAAATTCACCAACTGCAGTTTAGATGATTTTGGCAATCAATTTACAAAAATTAAAACGAGTTCATGAAAGATCAGCTCCTATAACTACTACTATTGATGTCCATTTGCTGCCTCTTCAGTCACAGAAAACATTCTTTATGTACTGATTGCTGTGAATTTACAGTGGAAGGAAATTATTACCTCAGTACAGGCTTGTTAGTTTCTCAATGCATCCAGTTCACTATTCTAAGAGACAGTGATAGAAAGACTAGATCAGTGGTTCTCAACCTTTTTAATGTCGCAACCCCCAACCGGTCGTAAGTCGAGGACTTTCCCTGCCCAGGAGCGCCGTGCATGCGTGGTGCTGCCCCCTGCACCGGCTGAGGCATAGCTGGCAAACGGCAGAGACGGCGCAGGCCGACCACCGGTTGGGCCACCAGCTGGCCCAGCCCAAGGGAGGTAAGGCACCCGCCGGGCCCCATGTGCGCCAGCAACCCTTCCTATGCCCGCCGGCCTCCCACCCCCCACCCCTGGCCCTCTTTTACTTACATTTTTAGTAGTTGCTCAGCAGGAAGCTTCCAGACAACTCGCCTTCGCTGCAGACAACTTGCAGCACCGTTTGCAGAATGGAACTTTTGGTGGGCTCAGCAGGGCAGAGACAGCCTGGACAATTCCTATTGGCTTTTGAAAGAATAGAGTGAAATGGTCGTTCGACTCCAAATGGGGTCCCGATCCACAGGTAGAGAACCACTGGACTAGATAGATCTGTTCCAGCAGAGCTACTCTTAAAGTACAGGCCTACAACTTTTCCTCATCCACCTGTCCACTTAGGAATGTTTGTATATTCCTGTAACAGGATAACCCAAATTTATGTGGAACTAGATTGGTTTTCATGGATTCCAATGCTATAAACATATGTAAGATGTCACAATATCCTTAGTTGGCTATATTTGCATAGTGCTAATCTCTAAGATAGTTTTACAATCATTTGTCTGAAATGGTATGGATTTTCCTCCCTGAGCAGGGGGTTGGACTAGAAGATCTCCAAGGTCCCTTCCAACTCTATTATTACTATTATGTAACAATGTGGTGAACTAATCTACACAAGTTAGTATCACTTATATTTGAAATTGGTTTTGTACTATGCAGGTATTAAATGACTAAAAGTTTCCTTATTAATTGTTGTACCATACAGAAGCAGTGGTATAAGTCAGGCATGTCAAATTCGCAACATCACGTGATGTTGCGTGACATATCGTGACTTTTTCCCCATTGCCGGTAATGGGATGGGCACGGTTTCAGTGTGATGCATCTGGCCCATGGGCCAGCAGTTTGACATGCCTGGTATAAGTCATCTAGTAGTGAAGTGTGTTGTTTTCAACTAGCTTAGTGATCTCTTTGTTTTGGTTGTTTGCACACAGTATTTTAGGTTAAAATATTTAATATGTTCTCAAACTTAGAATTAGAAAATCTTACACTCATCCATTCACCACTGTATGAATGTATAGTAATGTATGAATTGTTGTATATAGTATATGAAGTACATTGGGTTGCAGTATTTGCAAATTACTGTATTCCTTTGCCTAAAGGATTGACCTATTTCAACTTTTCTTAGAACTAATGTTTTGTACCCTATGGTCATTAAGAGTTCACACCAATTTGATGACACGTAATTATTGATCTTGTCAGAACAAGAAACTATCAAAGATTTTGGGAAAGATGCAGACAAACTGTAATACTGGAGAAGGGTAGTGAGAATGATTTGGATCTATTTTTATGAGGAGAAATTAAGAGAATGCACCTTTTTACGTGGATGAAGAGGGATGAAACAGAAAATGAAAACCTGTTCTCTTTTGTTCCAGGGTGAAGATCATAAAATAATGTTCTTATGTTACAGGAAGGAGGTTCTGACTGAATATTAGAAAATTTAGCAGTTGAATCAATTTCTAAGGAATGTTGGAACTCCTCTTCCCTGATGTGTTCATGTTCAGCCATCTGTTGAGGGAGCTTTAATTAGGATTACATCACTAATAAAATTGGACTCATTAGCCTAAATGCATCCTTCCAATTCTCTGATTTCTTTTTTTAAAAAATGAATACTGCAGTGGAATGTGCTATTCAATCATCACTAATTCTAAGAGATCATATGCAGATATTCTCTACATTTTTATTCTTTAAAAACTTCATTGAAAAGAGATAAAATTAATTTTCTGCATGTCATAGATGTTAGAAGAATATTGTGCATGCTTTGAAATGACTTCAAATTTAATGCCTCTCTAGTAACCATCTTTTTGTACAAAATCAGCAACACTGTTTGTCAAGAGTAGAGATAGGCATTTGAATGTGTTGTCCAGGTTATATACTCATTTAACAACAAAGCAATCAAATGAAATATTGGCTGGCAATATTTTCTAACCTCGTAATATGTTTATAATATCTATTTGCTTGAAGTTTTCTTAAGCAGGCTCATTGTATATATGAAATGAAAATGGCAAATTTGTTTTCTTGGTTAGTCCGTGAAGATCTGTTGTTATGGATGATCTGTCTGTCATTCTAGAATTAATTTAATGTAATTTGCAGTTCCATTTTCTACAAAATGCAAAAGTCCTAGAGGTACATTGAAATGGAGTTGTTGCTTAGTGATGAAATTGTGCAATTGACTACAGTAAAGATTTTTACCTTTATATTGTGTATTGTTGAATTTTGATTGCAATTAAATTTAACTCTTGCTTTGAATTCACAATCATTTTTTGTCAGACAACTATGCTTATAGGTGATTATATTTGTATTTTCCAGCATATCCCATTAGTGATCCTGCCAATCACTTCCCTTTTCTGAAGCAATTATCTTCTTCATAAATTTCTTCAAAATCAACTTACCCGTATTTTCCGGTGTATAAGACGACTTTCTAAAGCCTGAAAATCTTCTCAAAAGTCAGGGGTCGTCTTATACGCAGGAATATACGGGTAGCTGTTCTCTGAATTTAAAACCAATCTGCCAGCCCTATTTTTTTACAGAAATAAGCACTAACAAGACAAAGCTTTCTAGCAGCAAAGGAACTCCTATTGTGCTCATCTATAAACAGAAATTCAATATTGTACTGTATTTTCTGGCGTATAACATGACTTTCTAAAGCCTGAAAATCTTCTCAAAAGTTGGGGGTCGTCTTATACGTCCAGTCGTCTTATAAGCCGGAATATACGGTATATATCTGCCTATTTATTTTGATCATTATGAAAGTGGCTTTGGAAAATGCCCTCATTGAAGAAAGCCAGTACAATATACAGGAGAGGAACTTCTATGTAAGTGCCAGGCTATGCAGTCTTCTTCCCATAGAGATTTGGCTCCCATTCTCCTTGTACACAGGGTAACTGCTGCATGAAGTGTTTCACTTAGGATTGAAATTCCATGGGCACTCCCATTGCAGTATCCCCATGGTCAAGTGATCAAAATTTGGACACTTGGCAGCTGGCATGTATTTATGGTGGCTATGATGGTAGTCATTTTTGCAACATTCCAGCAAAGAAAGTAATGGAGAAGCCAGATTCAGTTACTAGCCATATTACTAACTTAACAACTGCAGTGATTTACTTAACAACTATGGCAGAAAAGGTCATAAAATGGATCAAAACTCATTTAACAATTGTCATCCTCATATGAGGGGCAGATCTTTCCACAATTCTGGGGTAGTCACAGAGAAAGTGAATTTCTTGGACCCCATTGCATTGCTTTAGAACAGTGGTTCTCAACCTTTTTAATGCCGCGACCCACAACTGGTCGTAAGTCGAGGACTATCCAACTGGTCATAAGTCGAGGCCTTTCCCTGCCCAAGAGCGCCGTGCATGCCTGGTGCCGCCCCCTGCGCCAGCCGAGGCCTAGCTGGCAAGGGGCAGCAATGGCACAGGGCGACCACCGGCTGGGCCACCAGCTGGCCCAGTCCAAGGGAGGTAAGGCGCCCACCAGGCCCCACGCACGCCAGCAACCCTCCCTGCTCCTGCCAGCCTCCCACCTGCCACCCCTGGCCCTCTTTGACTTACATTTTTAGTAGTTGCTCAGCAGGGAGGGGTGGAAACTTCCAGACAGCTCGCCTTCGCTGCAGACAACTTGCAGCACCATTTGCAGATTGGGACTTTTGGTGGCCTCAGCAGGGCAGAGACAGCCTGAACAATTCCTATTGGCTTTTGAAGGCCAATAGAATTAGACTATTCAAGAGAGTCTATTCTATTGGCTTTCAAAAGCCAATAGAATAAAAGGGAGTAACACAGCTAAGGAAAAAGGGGGAAAAATGGCCCCAAATGGGGTCGCAACCCACAGGTTGAGAACCGCTGCTTTAGAAGGTGTGAGAGTACACTCAATGCTTCCCAACTCAGACATATGGGATGGATAAATTTTATCTAGAGAAGATGTTCCCAGATATAATTTTGAGTCAGAATGAGTTGTACAGTTGGTGTTCATCAATTTATTGACAATAACATGCTCTTTTATTAAATATTATATGACTTAAAACTATGACAACAATTTCAGCAACACAGTCCTTCACACACAATAAAAAATATAGAAAAACATTGATGCAGTTAGTACATTGTAAAGATAACACTTATGGGGCTGCTGAAAAGTAAATGGAAAAATTATTTAATGTAGGGCTTTTCAACCAGTGGTATGGGTACCACCTGTGGTGCATTGGCACCTGGCAGGTGGTACGTGACCATCCTAGAAAAGTGGTAGCAGGGGAGGGGAATGAGCTGAACCAGTGGCAGCACCGCACAAGCCTGAGCGAGAGATGGCTGGAGCTGCAGGCTGTCAGGGCTCAGCGGAAGCGCCAGGATCAGCACCAGGCTTCAACTGGAGCTCTGCACAGATCCTGGCACTTTTGCTGAGCCCACAGCTGGAATGTTGCAGCATCTTCAGGGTCTTGTGATTTACATTCAGATGCTTGGCAACTGATTCATATTTATGATGGTCACAATGTCCCAGGGTCTTGTGAAGTGACTAAAACCTGCTGCAACCACCCAGCAGACGGGAATAAAAACCAAACAATAAAACGAAAAGCCCTGCTTTAATGGACTCTATAGTTCATTTAATTGGAGACATAAATGACATGCTTACTTCACCAATGTATCATATTTATGTACAACTGCACCATACAGTGGCTGTAATTGATAGCGTAGCTTGTTTGACTACAATGGAAAAAATATCTTTATCGCACCACGAACAAAAACGTCTCTACAAATCATTCAGATAAATGTTCGGATTACCTTGGCTACAAGAACATTATTGTTTCAATAACAATAGAGAATAGGGAAAACATTTTATGCACAAACTATTCTATATGTAGAAGAGCTACTTTCAGATAGTCTGTATCCAAAGCAAAATGAGTGTTTAAGATATATTGATTCACACTTGGAATATGATAGAGTAGCTTTGTTCAGGTATGGATAGAAATGCAGTTGTTTTAAATAGAAGGGGTTAGAGAGAGGCGAAGAAAAAGAAATATCCAAAGATGTTGGCAGTTGAAGAGCAGCATGTAATAGACCAGAACTGTCAAACTGGCGGCCCGCGCACCAGATGCATCACATGCAGGCCACGCCCACGCCAGTTCTGCAAAGGCAAAAAACATTGTGATAAGTCATGATATGTCACGCGACTCGATCGAATTTGACACCCGTGTCATAGATGGAAGATGGGGTGGTGGGCAGGTTGATGGGATCTGCTGCACTGGGAGTTCCTGTGAGAAGAAGGAGAGAGTTACACATCAGCCTTTCTCTGTTAACCCAATAATATTACTCCAGAATTTCTCCAGATTTTTTTCCGCCAAAACCTAAAATAAAATCAAACATTTCAGGTTTTGCTTTGACTGACCTATGGCTTACCAGATATCTGGAAAATTATTTATTCCAGGATTCAAATAAAATACATTTTCCATTCTGTGCACATCCTGCTCCAAACTTAGGAAAAAATATCTGGCATTGATAACTGGTTTTCTCTGTACCTGGAATTATTTCCAAATTTAAAATGCAGGGAATACTATTTGACAAGAATGCTGAATAGTATACAAAAATTAATACCAGTATTTAATTAATTAGATGACCTCCCAGGTCCCTTCCATCATCATCATCATCATTATTATTATTATTACTCTGAAATTACCATATGTATTGTATTTTGATTAATGAAAATCAATATTTTTGTAAAGTATAACTTTGCTATGCAATTCCTACCAATTTCTAAACTCTGTACATCATATCAGTGTTGTAGACTGGTCAGTGTCATCTGCTCCTGTTTTATGAGCCTCGGTACACATGTTACTTTAGTTAATTCTGGTCTAGAATTAAAAGAACTATTTTTCAATATTATAAGACAAAAACAAGAGCTAAATACATTTATATATTCCAAATATTAAAGATGCATATTGTGTGGAAGTGGGAACTGTCTAATATTTCAGATTCTATATTTTTTACATTTTGTACTTGTTTTTGTAACTTCTAGGGGACGCTAATTTTGGAAGGATTACGTCTTTTAGTATAAAAAAATATTAGGCATTCTTCTGTTGCTGCTTTTAGAAAGTGATATCTCTATTCTGTTTTCACTTCTACCGTTTTCTACATGTTTGTGAGGATATACATGCAAAGTTAGAAAGCAGTCTGGGATTAGAGCCAGGGTTTCCAAACTTTTAGGGTTGGTAGGCATAGTTACAGTGTTCAGAAAATGCCAGGCTATTTGCAGGAAAAGATGGCTTAGAAAAGTCAACATTCCAGCTGTGAAATTGCAACTCATGTAAAAAAGGAGCAGAGTTTTGATTGCATGGTTATAATTACCATCTTGACCTTTTTAATGCCCCTGCAGACATCCCTGGAACATGTAGTGGGATTATTGAAAAATAAGTGCTGGGGAAAGATAAATAGTCCCCGTAATTTTGCATGTATTAGAATATCACTTGCCTATGCCCTTATTCCATCCTCCATAAGATCACGGGTTTAAGGGGAATGGAGATATGCTAATTTACTTTTCCTCTGGGATGCTGGTTTTATTTTAGGCTTAAATGATAAATCTTGAATTCTGCTCATAGGATCCTCATGTTCAAATTGCCTACAGCACTGCTACTTACCTAAAAGCTAGTTATATAGGATACGTATAATTATTTGCTATTAAAAATAGGTTCAATTATTTTACAGAAGAGTCCTATTTTTTTTTATTTTCCCTTGTCAAATAAACATTTAAATGTTTAGGTGTTATATTAATATTCTGTTCTTTTTCCTGTTTAACTTCTCTTAAAATTAGGTCACATTCAACTGTTCTAACCATCACTTGAAAAAAAGGATGGAAAAAGTCACAGAATTTTCATCAGATGGCAACTCTTTGATTAAAGCTGTTTATCACAGAAGACTTCGCCTTACAAGATTATTGTTAGAAGGTGGGGCCTACATTAATGAAAGCAATGATCATGGTGAAACACCTTTAATGGTTGCTTGTAAAACAAAACATGTAGACCATCAGAGTGCTAGCAAGTTCAAAATGGTGAAATATCTTTTGGAAAATAATGCAGATCCAAATATACAAGACAAAACTGGAAAGACAGCTTTGATGCATGCCTGCTTGCAGAAAGCTGGACCTGAAGTGGTTTCTTTGCTCATTAAAAATGGAGCTGATTTAAGTTTACAAGACCATTCAGGAAACACAGTTCTTCTATATTCAGTGAATTCAGAGGATAAGGAAACTCTAAAAATTATATTAGATGCTTGTAAAGCAAAGGGAAAAGAAGTTATAATCATTACCAAAGACAGATCTCCATCTGGAAAGCAAAGAACTAGGCAGTTCTTAAATGTGCCTCCTCCTGATGTTGATGAATGTCAGTTTTCAAGTTCTTGTACTTCTCCATCTGAAGTTGAAGTTAAAACAACTTTGTCCCCTCCTACAGATTCAAATGATACAAACAAGTCTTTGTTTAATTTCAAAGAACTGAGTCATCCTGGAAGAAAAGAAGCTGCATCTGAACAGCATTCTCCTTCTAGAAAAACACATACAGGTCCTCAAATGCCAAACGCCAAAATTTACTCTGAGCCTTGGGTGAAAACTTCCTCTTCACTCTTGAATCAGAATCAAATATCTAGTTTACAAGAAGAGCTTCATGATATAACTCCAGAAGAAGAGTTATGTTTTAAAATCAATAATTTAGCCCTGTCTAAGAGGTATATCACTAGGCACCACAGCATTGATATTAAGGATACCCTTAATTTCTTGAAAAGCTTTGAACAAACTGCCTCAAGAAAGATGTCATATGATGAAATAAACTCTAATTCACTTTTTGGTGAGACTGGTCGGAGTGAAATTCCTTCAGACCAAAATTTGGATTTGACCGATATGAACTTTGTTTCCACCCTAAAAAGCATTGTTCAAAGGAGAAACCTGGGTGCAAACCACTATAGTTCTGATTCACAGTTAACTAACTTAGGCCCTGTTACAGAAGACAGCAAGTTACTTCTAGGGAAGAAAAAGCTGCTTTCACCATCTCCATCACTATCTTCAAGTTCTAAAGAATTGATTGAAAACATGCCTCCCAGTTTCTTAAGCAGGAGAAGTCATGCTATTCTAGAGAGACGGGGTTCAGATCACACTACCCTGGCTAGACCTAACTTTCTCCCCCCTTTAAATGTGAACCTTCATACCCCAGTCTCTGATCTCTACAAGTTGAATAACCTACCTTCCTGTGGACAAAAGTCCCTAATTCCAACAGCCCCTACTTATCCCAAAGACTTCAAGAACACAACTCTGTTGACAAGAAGACAGTCATTACAAACAGAGCAGATCAAGCAGCTGGTGAACTTTTAGCAAATGATATACAATAATATGTGTCTGCTTCCCTCAATTTTTTTCTTGTATGAAAATTAGCTACTCAGGCATTTCAGTTAACAATTACATCAGCCATTCATTTTTTCTAAATTGATATTGAATGAAGCTGCGAAAAAGAACCAAGTCTTATTTGATTGGAGATATATACGTCTATATATTCAAAATTTTGTGGCTGACAAAGAGTTAGTGGGAGACTAGTATAGCTATTTCAGCTAATCACACCCTTCAGGGATTCGAACCTGGGCAGCTTGCATGTTAGGCAGCTGTATTACCCTTTTGAGCCACAGGTTCCCCCTTACTCCTGTCAGCAGAAACTAGGGAGAATATATATCTTATCTGTTGGGTGAGGCACCCGGTCTACCAAATATAAATCAGTCTGTTCTGCGTTTCGCTCCAATGTAGGAGCATGTTTTGCAGGCAGACCTCATATACTGTGAACACTATAAATTCAAAATTTTGTGGCTGACAAAGAGTTAGTGGGAGACTAGTATAGCTATTTCAGGCTCATTTGCCCTAATCAGCTAGTCACCCTTCAGGGATTCCATATATAAATGGATCACACATTATTTAAACCTTAATGTTTATTTAGCTTTGGCTTAGCATGTTGTGTGAACCCAGCTTATGAACAGTATCTTGTGATTTAGCAGCTTATTTGAATTCAGTTGCAGTAAGCTACAAAATACTGCTGCCCTCATACATTCCATTATAAACATGAAAGATTGGATATTCTTGCTTAGTATAAGGATTTTAAACTACACTTTGTTCATTGAACACTTTTAACATTAACAAATGTTAAGCCAGTGTTTTTACAGTCTACTGCATCCTTCTCCAGTGGGGCTTCCCAGATATGTTAGTCTGCTCATGTGACTGCATTTTGGGCACTCTGCAGCCGACCCACATTTATGGCCATTTGCGGTGTCCTTTGCAATTTATGATGTTTTTGCTGAAAACCAGTATTTTCCCATGATGAACAATGGGGTTGCCTTAACAGTTGCCACAGAAAGGCTATAAAATGGGTCTAGTCATGGTGACCCACTTTATGTCTCACAAGTTATGGCCTTGATGGGCAGGCTCCATTGTTGTTGTTAATTGAGGATTACCTGTATAATATATTCATGCAGTAGTAAAACATTAGGGAATGAAAGAAAAGGAGATGTCTGTGCAGATAGTATTTTGTTAGGCTCCACATGTGTCACTTACAAATTTAGAGATACTAAAAAAACAAAATCACTTATCTAAAATTGTGTTTGTAAGCCCCTTCTCTAACAAAGGTATTGATCAAAATGCATTAAGATTAATCCAGACCCTTCACTAGGATCAATTTAGCCATTAACTATTGGGAATATTTATATAGTATGATTTTTTTCAGATGGGTTAGGCTTCAATTTCTGTAATTATCTAGCCATAAGCCAGTCTGAAAATTATGGAAGTTGAAGTCCACCAGGAACCCTGGTGATGTAGTGGTTAGAATGCAGTATTGCGGGTAAATTGCCCATAACCTGCAGTTCAGTCCTGACAAGGCTCAAGGTTGACCCAGCCTTTCATCCTTCCAAGGTAAAATGAAGACCCAGAGTGTTGGGGGCAATATGCTGACATTGTAAACCACCTAAAGAGTACTGTAAAGCACCATGGGGTGGTATACAAGTCTAAGTGCTATTGTTGTTGCTATTGCTAGATTGGATATTTGGATCTGCAGTGTCTTTGCATGGGAATGATAGCTTTCACGTACAATTAGGCCTTGCTGAACGTGGCAGGTGCTCTTTTTGTTTCTGCTACATGTTTTAAGCCCTTCAGGCATCTGTTATGAAAAATAACTTTGTTATTTATTCTTGTTCTATGGGAATAAAAAGGAAATATTAACACTGTAAATGTCAGAATTAAACTTTGTACTGGAACAGTTCCTGTGAAGAAATGTCAGACTTCTGTGCTTGGCACTAACAGGTGCTTTAAAATTGTTTTGAAGCTTTTAGTTTCTCAATTTCTAAAGTAAGATCAGGAGTTAACAACAATAAAAGTATATACATAGATTTAAACCTTGGAATTGTTGATGGTGTTTTGTTCTATGTTTAAAGTTTTTGGTACATTCAATCTTAAAATAGTATTAAAAAAGACTGCAATTTTATGCAATTTTTACAGTTTCTTCTGAGTAGCAAGATCTTTATTTGGTCTTTGTGCTTATGGAGATGGCTTTTTTAATCAGAAAAGGGATTTTATTATGGTATCTCATTGCTATTACTATTGTACCATTACTATTGTAATTACAATTATATTACATTACTATTACTATGGTATCTCATTACTATTACTATTATGGTATCTCCCCATTGTATTTTCCTTATACAACTCCCATTACTTTTCAGAAAAATATCATTAGCTGTACTAATCGGGGGCAAACTAAGGAATGACAGAGCCAGATGAAGAAATTTATACCAAAAATAGTTAATTCTTAAAATACCAAAAGATTTAATTGCTTTAATAATTCTTCCAGAACTGTCCACTGTTCAATGTGCTGTGGAGTAATTTCAGTATGCATCCAATAATTGGGAAATTGTCTTAATCATTGTAATTAGAAAAAACTAAAATATACAGCCTAATAAGAAATTACTTTTGCTAATAAATTGGCATGTTGACCTGATACATGCACCTTGAGCTGCATTATTACATTATGGTTTAGTATTTTGTATAACCTCAGCTCTTTCAGGTCCAACTCCATTATATATAACCTGCTCTAGAGGATAAAGTTATGTAAAAGGGGTCAATCATTCTGTCTTAACAATATGAAAAAAATTATATGTAATACGTTGGTAAATCACTGGAACAGCTTTTTCAGATTTGTATAACAAGATTATGCATTATCAAATCATTATAGAATTATTACAGTTTCCATTATGTATCCTCTGACACACCCACAGCCAATGGTAATGTGAAACAAATAACGTATGTTCTGAAATGATTAAATTTTTTTGTTTCCAACCTCAATACAACTCTGTTGGGGAGTTACAAGATAACATGAAAAGGATTTATGGAAAATATTGAAATAAATGTAGTCAAACTTCAGTAAAAGCCTCTGTGATTAAAAAAAATGGATAATGGAGAAAATGAAAGAAGGCTAATATCCATTAAGATAAATTATATTTGAAAGGGCAGCTACTGTATTTACTCTCTGCAAATACTAAAAAAGATTGTCTTTCTGTATTGAATGATAGGGAATAAATATTTTTCAATGATACAGCACTTTCAAACCACTATTTTAAAATGGAACCAAATCAAAAATCTCCATTTATTATAGTTTCACTAAAGTATTAGTTATAAATTGATAAAAGATATGAGTGTGCCTTCACTACCAAAATTTGCTATAATGTTTCATTTTACTCTGTTAAATTTTAATTATAATTGATAACCATTTTACTGCTAGCTTTACTTTTTCCTTTAGATTATTAAGGTCAACTGTAAAATCAGTTTCAGTCATATATCATTCCATCTACTTAAATGAAAAAAGTAAGAAGTACATGAAATAAAATTTCATTTATTTTCAATACGTTTGGGGAAAATATGTATTTGTGTTAAAGACTTGAGTTTGCTTGGGCAAAAACCAGTGTGCCCTTAAAGATGCTCCCAGAATATGTTAAACATACTAGCCAACCACAATTTATCTTAGCATATTATACCAGTGGTTCAGTATAACATGGAAATCCAGGACACTGAAATAATTTACTGAATGAAGACTTGGATAGATACAGAAGGAATGGATAGACAAGTATATGTAATATTTGTACAACCTTGGAGAGATCATTTATAATTGTAGATTATATCTCTGTGTGAACACTTTTCTCCTAGGAAATTAAATACAGAAAAGTCAAAATGGGATATAAAAGTGAAATCTCTTTCAAGTCAAGCTTGACATTTGACAAGCCCATTTTGTTTCCTTGGAAAAATACAGGGGTGATTTATGCTGTCTTCTGGGATTTTTTTTTTTTTACATCATTGAAAAATTAAGCTCTGCTTCTATTGTTTGTTTTAAAGCCAGTTGCTCATTACCGTAGTTCTACTTTGCACAGGTATGCTCTCCGGAAAAACTGGACAACAGAGGAGAAAGGTGTCTATGATCGTCTTCAAAAGACCTTAAATTGGAATAGAATAACAGACTGGCAGAGATGTCAAAACTGGCAAAGATGTCAAAACTGTACAATCTCTATACAAACTAAAATAATTGATTTAAGACTTCCCCATCTGCCAGGCTCCTATGAAAATCTGCTATAGAATTGTTTTTTTCTAACAGTTGGAAATTCCACAGAAGGAATAGATTCCAATGACAAATCAGCTTAAAAAGTTTGGGAACTATTCGGAGGGGGGGGGGAAAGGCTTCAAAAGCATTGATGCTAACCCACCCCATACCCACATTATACCATAGTAAGAATACACTAAGGAGTTTAAGCATTAACTATTTTAAAAATGTATGCTTCTCAACCCCTTGATTTGTGTTTTTTATAGCAATAATTGCATTGTAAAATCCAGTGATATAAAACTGAACAGCCTAGATTGAATTATTTTGGAGACCATTCTTAAACTAATGAGGAGGCCCTTTTGCATCAGGTTGCTCCATATTAAAGACTGCAGCACCACAGGAATAGACTTAACTGTTCCTATTAAATGTATCTGTGGAAGACCCATGAAGGATACTTCACTAACTACCTAAGCAGGAGATGGACAGCAATCAGTCCTGTGGTTAAAAGCCCCAACTCAAATAATGTGTCATGGTTCCAACAGACACATTAAAGAATCTTTTATTCGGGAAACAAAGTATCAGCACTACATAAAGCCAAAAACTGAATTCCCCTCCCCTGAGCACAATTCCCTCCTCCAATTAACTGTCATAAATCACATTACCCAATTAGCTTGAAGCATGAGCTTTCTCCCCACTCTCCAAATCTTTATCAACTCTGGGCGCAATAACCTTGGATTCCCAGGCTGAGTTATTATTATGACTAACTGGACTCTCATCCATATTCCCCCTCCCAGCATCAACTAACTCTAAAAGCAAAAGAGTAAAATGGCTACATTTCCATCTGTTGTCAAAGCAAGAACATGCGATGTTAGCAGCGTTGACATCATGCCTGTATACTTTAGTGAGTCCCTTGAAATGGTGGGAAAGCAGCTGTTAACCAGGGTAATCACATATCCTCCAGGATGATTTGGCAACTTTATTTCCATACAAAGGAGTACAGCCTTCATAATAGTAGCCCATGTCTTACACACACATCTCCTCCTAAATGATGCCCATTAACCTGATTTATTTTCTGATTTATTTTCCTCCCCTCCAAAATTCCATACCATTCATAAGAGCAAATTTTGTGAAGGCAGAAGATGAAACTGTGGAAGGGAACTTGATGAAAGCATCCACTTCAGTAAATAAAATTGTGTTCCATCAGTGATGGAAATTTACAATTCAATGTAATGCATTTTTCCACTCAGTCTAATGCCTAAATACATTTTGACAGGGCTGTTTTATTTGTCCTTTCAATATTCCTATTGCTTCTCTGAATTTAGAATTTTGTGGCTCCAAGATATCATAAAAAACTCTATATTCATCAAAGCTGCGTCTGATGAAGAGTAAATCATCTACGGAATATTCATCATCCTTTCCAGTCCAAATAGTTAATGTGTACCTGGAAGAAGAATACCAAAGTTGAATTATTTCACAGATATCTAAAGTAGGTATTGCAATAAAAGTAAATGCCAAAACTTCAATCGTGTTATTTTCACATAATGATGGTTCTATCAAATGAAAGCTTTCTTTCATTTGAAAAAGAGTGTTTTACTGAATCCACATATTTCATGATAGTCATATCAAAATTCATGAATCTACTGAAATAAAAAAGGTGAGCAGCTTTATTAATATAATGGTTGGCTTCAAACAATAATTTCCACCTTGGCTTAAGGCCAAGGAAGATGTGGATGTATCATTTGGGCAGAGAAGGTGAGGTTTCTTTGTTTTTATGTTTACTAGTGATAAGTCTATTTTAGTGCATAGTTGATGGTTGCATTTCCTCTTGCAAAATGATGGTACCTTGATATTAGTATTCAGCATCTATAGTCAGACTCTGAAAACCATAAAAGGAAATTTGACGATAGCTGGTTGCCCATCCTGATATAAGGTACAGAAAGAACAGTAAATGAAAATTGAACACTCCTGCATTAGCTTTGTTGAAGCAAACATTGACCAATGGATCATCTGGTGGCAGCGCAGTGATTAGAATGCAGTAGTGCAGGCTAACTCACTGCTGACTCCAGGAGTTCAATTCTGAAGGGCTCAAGGTTGACTCAGCCATCCATCCTTCACAGATTGGTAAAATGAGGACCCAGATTGTTGGGGGCAATAGGCTGACTCTGTAAACCACTTAGAGAGGTCTATAAAACACTGTGAAGTGGTATATAAGTCTAAGTGATATTGCTATCTTACATCTGTTTTGTGTATTTTCTGAATCTTTTATATATTATTACAATATTCAGTTAGTGGAAATCATACCTGTCTGATTGCTGTAGTAACCATAGAAGTTCAGATATTGACCGACAAACCAAATCAGCTCTTACGGCAAATGTGATTGGCTGAGTACGATCTCTACATATTGCTGCCATTTCTTGTACCATGGCTAAACTGTAACCTAAAGAAGGAACAAATACTATAGTACTCAGATATGGAAGGTGAATTTCTGTTAGCTAAGCTGTTCACTTCTAATTATTAATTACTCAGAAATCCTTTTTTCTGGAATGAGGAGGAATAGGAAGAGATAACGAGCACTGATGGGAAAGGGAAACTTTGATTCTTGCAAATCCTGTTTTCTGCATTTAAAAATGATAGTGTGTAGTAATGTAATATAACTGAACCTATCCAGAAGATCCATTGCTTTTGTCAAAACTATGAATGTGCATCAATGCCACTCCACAAATTCTGTCTCTTTTGTATGTGCAGGTGACATAACAGCTTGTGTAATGTCAATATGACCCTGCTTATATCATTTTCAATCCCCTTGCCTCCCTAAGATGCTGCTGGATATAATATATTTTAAAATATACTGTAAGAGAAAGCTTTAGTTGTAATGCCTTGCTGTGGTATTTGAAATTAATGTTAAAGATATGGGATCAAAGAATCATTTTGATATAATATTAGCCATGTCAGATTTATATGCATCTTGAAAATTGCATGAGTAAAGGAGAAGGGAAATCATGATTGTAACAGTTTTGCCATCTTGCTTATCCTCCATGTGTTGAATTTTAGTCCTCTGTGTGCAGTGACCTCAGTGTAAAAAGGTCATCCGAAGTAGCTATCTAAAGATGCCTTGCCCTGGTTGCAGAACAAGACGAATTGCACTGTATTATCTATAGATGAATTTAAAGCATTAGCATGGATTTGCATTACCTGTATTGCATTGTGAATTAATTCTCCCAACAGTCCATCCCAAAGATAAAGTTACATCTGGAAAAGATGAGATCACTGTGTCCAGGAATCCCTTTGCATCTACAACAGGGTGATTTCCTTTTGGCCCTAGAAGTATGTCTGCATTTATCCAAATAGGTTGCCTAAGTTGCAGATCTCCAAGAAGCTTCATTGAGGGATTCACAGCTTCTAGGCTATAAACAAGACAATACATTTTAAAGTATTTGGTGAAAAGATGCAGTATATTTTTCATCAATTATCAAAATATTGGAAATGCAAATTTGGCAAGAAGAAATGTTTGGATTTTTTTTTAAGTTTTAAAATTGGGGAAAGGGTTAATAGTAAAATTGGGCAGTTTAAGCATGCAAATGATTAAAAAAAATCATTCTACTCCTTAGAAAAATCAGGACAATTATCCCCTTTTTGTAATTTGTAATTTATCTCCTTTTAGTGTGCACAAAGTTTCCAAAATTATAAACTTTCATATGTGACAATAAATCTTGACTCCAAAATTTCAACATCTATATACAGGAACTTGCTTACACTAGAAAATTAACAAAATGGCACAGCTAGGTATGTTATTTTTATTGCAAACAGCAGAAAAATATCTAATGAGCTTGGACACTATACAAAGATAGCAAGACAGAGAGATGTACACACACAATACCAGAATGTTAAGTTTGATGCTATCAAGGAGGGAACAGGGATTTCTTTTTATTCATGCATGCTTACTCTAGGATTTAAATTCTAAGATGTTTTTCTTGGTTTTTGGCTTCAATCTTCACTAATTCTTCATTTAAAAAAAAAAACAAAAGGTCACAGTAGGGGTTTTTTTTAAAAAAAAAAAAGTAGAAAAGAGTTTCAGGGTTGTAGCACCCTCTATTGATCAGAGAAAAAAAAGATTGTTTGAAATAACAGGAATTTTGCTATACTTTATTTCATTTTCTTTATTAAGTTTTCAAAATTAACAAAATAATGAAATAGCAAATAAGGATAACAAGAATAATATAAAAACTTGTGCAGTGAGTCCCTTAGTTTGTCGCACGGAGCTCTGTTGTCCTTGAGGTGGCAAATTATACACCCAAGTCACACACTTTCAAAGGATTTTCAAATCCATGAAGCATAGTGAAACTTCATATACATATTAAGTTAAACATGATTACATGTATAGAAGCATCTTTTATTTGTAGTATCATTTATTCCAATTACTGGCGACTTATTTTGAATTATTTCAAAATATAATAATAGACAAATACTGACAGTATTTGTGATATTTACTTACCTAAAGAGATAAACATAATGACCGCAGGTGAGCAAAAAAGCAGTGGCAGCAGGAGCAACATCTCACTTCCTGCTAGCTTCCCCACTGACTTTGCTTGTGGGAAGCTGGCAGGGAGCACTTAAAATCATAATCACGTGGCCATGGCCACAAGTTTGCGAATACAGCTTACATAAAAGAACTTTATAATAAAAATAATCCACATTTACAACTTGTGAATGGAAAGACAGAGAAGAATTGGATCAAGTGAAGTAATGTTACATGAATATTGTAAATATATGCACAGAACCATTAAATGAATTATTTGCTGATGTTGTATTGTAAAAATATATTAAATATTTGCCATGAGGCTAATTCTTCCCAGTCAAAATTTTGGCATTAGTCAGCTATCTTGTTTTAGCTTTTTATTACTAGGGTTTCTTTCAGCACTTTACTGATAGATCCTGCAGGGTTATACTAAAAATGCAGTTCTTGGCATACATACACAGATGTCATTACACTTCATAATGTATGTGTTGGTAATTGTTTGACCAATAATTGCTTATTCAATAATGTAGTGGTTAATTATTTAAAGTCTGAAATGTATATATATGTGTGTGTGTGTGCATATACTTTCCAAATTACCTTTTAAAATCAAGCTTCATCCCTTTATTGGTGCTTTTAATTTCATTTAACCATTCTTTGAGTGTGTTATCGCTATTTGTTTCAGGTGGATGAGCCATGACTGGGTGATTACCATAAAGCAGGACATCTGCTTCTATCATGTGAGCAGCACCTATTAATTCCCAAAACAAGGGCAGAAAAAGAAAAAAATAGTAATAGTTTTATTTAAAAAGCCATATGTAGCAAAGTGTTTATTTTTTTCCACTTATATATCCCATGAGAACTAATAAAAGGAGCAATGTGGAGCTTACAACCTATTAAGGAGTGATGGAGATAAATCACTAAAGAATCATCAGAAAATCTGCATCTTTCAAATTTATTTTCCTTTTTACGCCAGGGAGAATGATATTAACTAAAGAATGTAAGAATAATTTCTTCCTCTCGTTAATATGTATTCACATTACTTATGTCGTCTGTTGGGAAGACAATAGAACAACTTAAAATATAACTTTTAAGCATCTTCTATTGCTTTAAAATGCAAAATAGTAAATGTATTGGAAATTGTTCAGAGGGCAGTTAATTGGAAAAAAAACACTACTGTTTTCTCTGCTTTGGGTATCAAATCATTTAATTTCTCATTTCTGTTTTTAGGATAAGCAATTTAGCTGCTTATGTCAGGCCCAAGTCCAAAACCAACACAGTGAAATCCGATGAAGTCCAATTCTTTATTTGCTTATCCTGAACCTCTTCCTCCCCCTCCCATCCAGTTTAGGACTCTGCAGTCTCTTATTTTGGGCTTATTTGTACTCTTTGGCAGTGAGTTCACAAAGGAATGCCTTGCTTTTTCAGCCAGTCTGCAATTGAAAGATTGCTGTGATAAGGGAATTCATCTGATGCACAATTGCTTTGGAGCAATTTTGGATTAAGTCTGCCCCTCAATTTGAAAAAGGTAATAGAGTGTGGGTTTGCAGAACATACTAATCAAGAAATTGGTGAAACTAATATGCTATCCAGTTCCAAATTGGGATTAATTTATGACTCAATGGATTGTGTAATTAGAGAAAATTAGATTACGTAAACCATGTTTCTTAAGACCTTGGCTAAAACTATTATGTGAATGTGATTGTAATTTGAATTTTTGTCGGAAAAAAGGTTTATAGTGGGGTATATAACTATATAACACATGTGAATGAATGAACACATTAAGCAAAATGGAATAAATGCACTGCACATTGTACAATTATATTTTTTTGGATTTTGTCTCTAAGCATAAATATTTTTTTCTTGATAATGCTGCCAGTAAATTCATTATCTTTATAACAGATTATTTAAAAAAAAAAAAGCTTATTCCCCCTAAAAAACCCTCTGCCACTTCCATCAAACTAAATTCAATATTGTGATTTAACTCTGCTTTGCTTTTTAGAATTACTGAACTAAAATACTACTATATTGTATTATGAAGTACACAATAACAAAAATTAATTTTTCTCATATTCAAGTATTATTTTCCAATACTTACCCTGTATTGCCTCTTTCATGCGTTGCTTACTGTTTGCTCTGTGATACCAAATGATTTCAGCTCCATCTCTTGATTTAATTTGCTTGGTATTCAGAAAATAATCTAATATATTTTGACTCCAAAATCCTATGTGGAAAACATTGACAGTAATAATTTCATATAAGGGACCTAGTTGTTTCATCTCTGTTCTATTCTCTATTAATTTAGTATCTACTCCCTCAGAGGCCAGGATCAAAACCAATGGATTAAAATGACTTCTAGATTGTATGAACTGTCAGCCAGTGGAACAGGCAGTCACATAATACGATGAATTTTCTTTCATTAGAGGTCTTCAATTGTTATCTGTAAGAGATGCCCTAACACAGAGGTCCCCAACCTTTTGGGCCCCACAGACCGGTGCAATGGAGAAAGGTTTTTCCGTGGACCAGAGGGGATATGGTTTTGAATACTGCCTGTATCCTGAGGATGGAGCTTTGCTTGTTTGTGCAGCCTGCTTGCTGCTGTGGACCAGTTGGGGGTGGGGGGTTGAGCAACCCTGCTGTAGCATCTCAAATTCAGCATTTTAAGATGGGTGGACTTAGCTACCAGAATTCCCTAGCCAGAATGCTGGAAGTTGAAGTCTCTCCATCTTAAAATTGCTGAGTTTGAGAAACAGTGTGCGAACAGATCCTTCACATCCTCTATGTGTCTTCTCGGTATAGGATCCATGAGATCTGCCGTACAAAGTTAATTTCAGGGACAATGAATGATAGTTGAAACTCTGCTTTAGCCCTGAAAACACAAAGATAGCTACAGTCCAATCTGTTTCAATCTGAATAATGTAAATTGGGAGGGAGGAGTCATAATGTATTCTCCCTCTGGGGTTGGGCAATAGGTGGTGATAATTTTGCCCACACCAGGAGAGGGGAAAGGAGAAAGGGTGCCAGCTTCCCTTGCTCAGCAGTATGGTACAGGCACAGTCAAGATGAGTTCACCGTGGTCCCCAGTTGTCTCCAATCCTTTCCTTATTAATGTTGAGATGGAAGTCAACCTAGGAAGAGGCTTTCAAGGGATAAAGTATCTTGCGTTTCTTTCCAATCTCTGCAATCTCTGATTGCATTATTTATAGTGTATATAATAAGGTGTTCTGCAACTTGAGGTATTTGGTTTTAATAGTCCAATATTAACAGTTCAAATAAATGATCCTGATCCAGCCATCAAGTCATAAGAGCAACTTCCGTAAGAGATCGCACCATTTAGCTAACCAGAGCAGCTCCGGGATAGCTCTACACATAGCAACACCCTCTCGGGGGGTCCAAGACCAAGCCAACGAGGAAGGGGGGAAAGGGAGCGGGTACCTTCCATTTCGCCGCGCGCGGACCCTCCGGCGTCCGATTCTCCTCCTCCTTCGTCGTCTTGCATGTTCGGCCTCGGGTCTTACTCAGACCCCTCCACCGCCGCAGAGTTCGCCCTGGCCTTTTGGAGGCGTGCAATCGGTTCTCTCCGCAGCATTGCCGGGGCCTTCCAGCAAGCGCTCCGCATTAAGGCTCGCCGAGTCCGACTTCCGAGTGCGCAGGCTTTGCCCTTCGCCCGCCTCCGCGTTTGCTCCCCGCAGAGCGACGGCGAGACTTATTCGTGAATTTGCCTCGCCGCTCTTACTTTCTAATTTGACTACCTTTGCAGTCTGTGGTTAGGGATTTATTATTAGCGAAATAGCTAATTCAAAAGGATTTAGAAATTATGGATTCATTTTGATGCCAGCTCCCAACTGGCAGAATAGCTCTATCTCTATGATGCATCCGGGTTTAAATCCCGGCTCAGCCATGAAGCTGAAGAGGGACACCCGCTCCCTTTCACAGATTGACTTTATCAGTTTATTCCAGAGTTTTATGAAAATGTAGGCACTGAACCGTGAAATAGTTTCTCTGCCAAAAATCCCATTTTTGTAAATGTGCTTGATAGTTTATAAGGATTAGTAAATGATGATCCGGTAATTAAAACTATAACCTGCATCTTTGGAAAAACTTCCTCCTGCTATTTGTAGGAGGGATTTTTGCATGCATGTTTTCCAGTTTGCTTATTTAATAGTATTTCAGAATGAAAAGTGCCAGACAGTGCACAAAGCTATCATAGTAGCAAAAGAATCATGGGCACCCAGGATCCTATTGCTAATATCTGATGAATACTGCAGATGGCAAGGGAGTTTGACAAAAATGTCTATTGATTTTCTAAAAGCTTTTAACTGTGAGGACACGTGGACAGTCCATGAAAACATGCATGTATAAGGCTACCTGCCTAGTGAATAATACGTACTACATGATGATCAGATTGTAACAATATGGGATATTTAAATGGTTCAAAAGTGGGAAAGGAGTGGGCCATGATTGGATCTCTTTTAATTAGTTAACATATATGCATAATATATCATCATACACACCAGATTTGAAAAACAACAATTATAATTAAAATTTGTGGGCGAAACATAAACCACAGAAATGCTGATGATGCCTCTTGAATAGCTGGAAGCAAGGAAAACTAAAGAAATTCATTGTTGACAATGAAAGAAAAAAAGAGTACAAAAGCTAGTGTCTCCTCAGTATTAAAAATATTCAAGATAGTTAACAGGCAATGGTAACTCAAGTCAAATAACCTGGAGAAGTAAGTTTACTTAAAGAGTGACTGTAGACCAGGGGTCTTCAAACTTGATCCTTTTATGATGTGTGGACATCAACTCCCAGAATTCCTTAGCCAGGCTGAATTCTGAGAGTTGAAGTCCACAAATCATAAAAGGGCCAAGTTTGAAGACCCCTGCTGTAGACATAAAAGAGACATCTGGTACTTAGGACAAACTATGGCAAACCTAAGTAAATGATTAAAGAGCAGAGACATCATATTGACAACAAAGGTACCTATTATCATAGCTATGGCTTTTCCCAGTTGCAATACAAATAACTTTGAATTGTGATGCTATAGAAAACTGAACACTGGATTCCCAAGAAAAACAATACTAGATGAAGTAAAATCAAACTGCTATGTGAAAGCATTAATAATAATCCAAAAATCAAAGACAATCAGAAAAGGGGGCAAAAAAATATAAGGTGGCTAGATGTTATCATTGATAAAAACTTACAAGAACTCAAAACAGCTGTTAACTGAACTAGAAAAATGTTTATCAGGTCAATCAGAAATAACTGAATACTGTAATATTGATTTATATAATATATATATATTATTTTTCATGGTTTATCTTTTGATATAAACATTCAGAAATGAGGACTTGAAATTAAAAGCCCCTGTAAATGTTTATGAATAAAGTTAGGATGTTTTGTGGAATTTAAAGATGGACAGAATTATAACTTGAAAAGTAAATATTTTATGAAAAGTAGTAGTCCCCTCTCCTTAGCAGTATCTCCAACATACTGCCTGACAGTGCTATTTCAAAATGCTCAGCATGATTTGCAAATGAAGTCAATGAATAAGCATGGTAAGCAGCAGAATGTTGATTTCCTGACAGCATATGTTTTAGTGATATGCAAATCATTACACAAAGTTTATTTATGATTTCTTATTTATTCCTGTTTTGTTTTGTGGTCTGAGTCATTAGTCATGCAAGGAAAAATCTTAGAAGAAAATGAACTTAAAAAGTGGCAAACACTAGTTCACTGCTTACTTGCCCAATTAACTCTGTCTTTTCAGACCACAAAATAGTCATATAGTGGCAGGGTCATGTGTTATGCTAATTTTACTTCGAAGATTTATATATTTTATATTACGGGTGTCAAACTTGTGACATCACGTGATGTGTCGCGATGTATTGTGACTTTTTTTCCCATTGCTGGCAATGGGATGGGCGCAGTTTTGGCATGACGCATCCGGCCCGTGGGCCAGCAGTTTGACACCTCTGTTTATATCAACTACTAAGGAACAAAAAATCCTATACACCAGACACCAAATCAAAACAAACAGAAATAACAGAAATGTCAGCATTACTCTAAACTTTAAGTATACATTTTAATTTATTAAACATAGATTCAGAATTTTTTGCCAAGGTTTGAAAGTCCCCAGAAATATTTTAAGTTGTTTTGAATTTTAAACATGACTTTAATCTTTATCGAACCATTGTCATGTAAGATAGAGAGGACAAGAATGTTTCTTTTGACTACAGTAAGCCTAACCCCAAACTAGAATTAACCCTGTGACGCATGGTATTAAATCTGCTTCTAAAGCATATTACTTTTTTTAAAAAAAAGTTCAGCATAAAATTTATAAACTCTTGAGCTGATGAAATATTTAAAACCATAAATTTTGGCTGGCAAGAAAAAAAAAGGAAGATACATTAGGGTATTTATTTCACATTCCTATAATTTGGAATCATAACCTGAGCTACCTCCTTGCTTTATTGCACTAGGCCAGGGGTGTCAAACTCGCAACGTCATGTGATGTGTCGCGATGTATCGTGACTTTTTTCCCATTGCCGGCAATGGGCAACGGGGTGGGCAAGGTTTTGGCATATGCATCCGGCCCGTGGGCCGGCAGTTTGACACCCCTGCACTAGGCAATAAAGAATCTTAGTTGCTTGGTAAGAGTGTAGTTATCTGTAATCTTTAAAAATAGGGAAATAGATAATGCCCCACTCATGAATAGGATGATTTGAAGCAATAGTTTGAATGTGCAATTAATTAATTAAAGCTATACTTAATTAAAAATGAGAGACAGACATTTATCTTTATTAGAAATCAGCAGCAATCCTGGCAAATGATGATTAAAGTATTAATGCTGGAAAAGAAAATGCTGGGGAACTGAAGTCTAGAGTGAGTAGATAATTCAATGACCAGAAGAAACACATCCAATTACTATGCAGTAGAGGTAGATTTAATGCCAGTGAAAATATGGTCAGTTTTTAAATACAATCATAAAACTATTATGAAAAATGTTTGAAGAAAGTACAAGAGACAGTAGGAAATAGCCTACTGCAGACCTAACTACCAGACAAGATGAAAGCAAAGCGAGTGAGAGAAAATGGGGAAGTATGTGGTTAGGCAGAGAATAGCTGAAATGTTTACAGGTGATGTAGAACATAGGCCAAAAACACCACTCAGTGGAGTATGTGACTGTGTCAACTATGTTTGGTAATTTCAACTAAACCTAAAACAAATTTTGAGGTATAAACCCTTTTGCTTACCTAACACATTATAAAAGATTGTAAGGTAATCATAATGATTGAATTCATACACAGTGCTGATTTAACTTCATGTACTATATAAATCATGGTTCACATAATAAAACCAAATAAACTACATAATGACAGAGCTTTCTCCACTAATTACAATACCATCCATCCATTAATGCTTAGCAGAAAATTATGCTGTTGTGACATGTTATTCCCAATCCTGGCTCTAGTCATTTTGAGAGACAATGCCTAACAGATTTGTACATACCTTGAGGTCATCTTTGGATGGTCCAACTTGTGAACTGCAGATGAATTGCAGGCAATAAGAGGAAGATTTGCCATAAAAAAAAGATCTCAAGGCCTTGTCAGAGGGCCTCTATCTAGGACCATTTAACTTTACTTTCCATCCAACTGCCTCAAAAGCATATTCCAACATAGTGAAGGAAGCACTTTTATTTAAAATAAAATACCTAGATTCTTTTAGGTATGTAAAATTAGATGTGAAGTTCTTGCAATCTCACATTTTATTATTTATGCTTTCAACGCAGTCATAAGTCTGCTTTTTTACAGCAGGTTATTCAACAAGTTTTCAGTAATATGAAATAAGATATCACTCCCAATTTTAGTGAATAGAAAGAGCCATTAAATTAACTGAAAAATTAAATGAAAACAAACATTATCTAATTTAAACCAAATTAGTGGATCAGACTTAGTCTTCAGTAAGGCATTTGACAAAATAGACCACAGCCTAATTCTTGGTAAGCTACAACAATGATATATAGACCATACCCCCGCTAGATGGATTCACAACTGGCTGACCAACCATACTGTAGTCCTCACTGGAACAACATCTACCTTGAGGGAAGAATGTGGTGGGGTACCTCAAGGTTTTTGTCTTAGGCTCAGTACTCACTTTCTTAAAGGGGGATTCATTAAATTCGCAGACAACACCAAGCTGGGGGAATTAGTCAATACTTTGGAAGATACCGTAAATTCACAATTCAGAAGGATCTTGGCAGACTTGAACACTGGGCCCAATCCAACAAGGTGCAGTTCAGTAGTGAGAAAAGTAAGATCCTGCACTTAGATACAAATGCATAGATACAGAATAGGCAGTGTGAGAGGGATTGGACCACCAATCGAGTATGAGCAAGCAGTGTGCTGCAGCTGCCCAAAAACTAATGCAGTCAAAAACTGCTTCAGCTGAAGGATAGTATCAAGATCATGTGAAGTGATTGTACCGCTTTATACTGCACTAGTGAGACTACACTTGCAACACTGCATCTAGTTCTGGCCACCATAATACAAAAAAGATGCTGAGAACCTAGAAAGATAGAGAAGAGCAACAAAAATAAGGGTCTGGAAGCTAAACTATGATGAATGATTGAGAGAACTAGATATGTCTAGTCTAATAAAGAGGACTATGGATGATATGATAGCCGTCTTCCAGAACTTGAGGGGCTGTTACAGAGATTCAACAAAGCACCTGAGGGCAGAACAAGAAATAATGGATGTAAGATAATTAAAGAGAAAGCCAATTTAGAACTAAAGATAAATTTCCTGACAATGACAGCAATTATTCAGAAGTTGTGGGTGCTCCATCATTGGAGGTTTTCAAGAAGATACTGGGCAACCATTTATTTGCAATTATATAAGGTCTCCTGCTGGAGCAGGGGATTGGGCTAGATCTGCAGGGTACCTCCCAACCCTATTATTCTATGTTATTCTAATCAGTGCTATCAAAAAAGCTGCTAACATTTTCATGGAATATCTTTTTAGAAACTTTTAAAAACAGATAAGGAACTGATGAGATTTAATTGAACTGAATCATTAAAAGAAAACTATCTAAATGATCTAAATAGAAAAATTAAAATGTTTTCTGATTTGTTAAAACATCATGAGCTTAATTTACAAAGTTTTTGACAATCTTTATGTTTATGTAGTAATATTTATATTCTAAAATAAAAGCCTAATGTTAATTATTTATAAAAGGATCATCTTCCAGGAGGACAAAAAGTTGTTATAACACAGTAATGCTTGGTGTTACGCAAAATTGTATCTTAAGAAGTCATATTTACACATTATGGATCAATACTTCAAACATTTACCGTTGTCTGCTGCAGCTTTCTTCATTTGTTCAAAAGTAGCAGAATAGAGAAACAGATGTGTATTATGTAACATTTAGTCTACAACAAATTTACAGTTCTTGATACAAAGGAATACAATGTTTTCATTACAATGGCCCATGGGACTAGTTTATTGGAGTCTTTATTCTATAGTTGTCAAATATCTGAGCAATAAATTGTCTTTGTAACTGCAGTTCATAGACCCATCTAATGTCAAGGCATTTAATTGTAATTAGAATATGGTATGTTTGCCGTTATAGCATTATAGGCATAAATAATTCAAAGACACACTGATATACAATTTTCTATAGAACACAACAAACAGCAACTTTATGCAGGCATTATCAGACTTGATTTAGGTTACTTAAGCAGTAATCTCAATCATTTTTCTGGTACATAAATACTTACTTATTGAAAATAACCCATTACAAAAATAAGACTTATATAAAGAGCTTCAACTGGTTTATGGCAAATTGTTCATGAATATTCAAACTAATACATTGTTCTCCCTGAAAATAAACAGGAATACCAAGAGGTCTCAAAAAGTAGAGAAAGGACCACAAACAGGCTTCGTGCCTGATTTACTGCTACAGGATGACTACTTTAAGGGTCATCTGACTTCTTATTCCTTCTTGGAAAATCCAAGAAACAACTGTATATCTGAGCACAGAAGAAAACAACATTATTAAGTATTTAATATAAAAAGTATTAATTTTATGTTCATTAAAGCCATTATAAATATATAAGAAAGCCAGCCATTAAAATGGGAACTCTCAAGTTCCAGCAATAATATATACTTTAAAATATATCAATTTTAAAAATTTATGACTTTATAAAATGATCGCATCTGGCAAAAACATACTGGTTTTGTCATAAAGATAATTATACTTGTAGAAACATTTTCAAGACAGATTAATTATGCCAATATTCTAATAATTAACAGTTTTTATATTTGAACTTAACTATGCAGCAAAAAGCTTCTACTCCATTTAAATGTGTTTTTTTTTTCAAAAAAAAAATCACGCAAAATGGTTAAGAACAATTCACTGGATTTACCAGTAATTGCAAAGAATATTAAAGTTGTCTGTAAAACAGAGATAATTCCTTAATCACACATGCTAACTCTATTCCTTCCTTAGCAGTATTAAATGTAACATTTCAGAACATAAAGAAAGCGTACAGTATAATTAATTTTCTGTTTAAGTAAAGATGGAAAAACAGCTTTTAATTAAATAAAGCTCTCTTAGAAGATTGCTAAATCATTGGCTTAAAATCACTCGACTATTTCATTCATAATGTAATGTTAACTGCTTTGGTATTGATAAATAGAGCAATTCAGTTCATTACATTATAACATACTTGCCAGTTATATTAAAAGAGACTCATTAATGAAAAATACTAATTCAATTTCCAGTGGTAAGCTTGTAGTATTGGATATCCAGCCATGAATGACTGGAATCAAAGCACTATCCAAATCATTTAAGTAATGCTGAGGAAGAACCTGGCCTCCAGATCCCGCCTGATATTCTACCTAGAAGAAAGAACAAAAAATTACCATGTTAGATTCCTGAACAATTTACACAATAGATTACTAGTGATATTCATACCTTATCACATGACAGAATTAAATTTTAGCATATTTAAAAGCAGTAAGAAATTGATCTCTTTTAAACTATACCATAGCATACCATTCCATTTGCTGGCAATGTTGCCCACTAAACAGATGCAGATGTGAAAAAATTATCTACAAAATGGATTCCGTTACAAAGAGTTTGCATTTGGAGAAGAAGTGACAAGCTGACACTTTTCTAAGTGCTACCTAATCACCCCATTTTTCTTCTACTGGATAAGGAGGACAGAGCTGTATTTCCTCTGTTGGATAAGTTTATTTGTCAAGGCTACAGATGTTAGCTAGGAGGAAGAAAGATGCAGAGTTTCAATGCCTGTAGTTCAGGCATATCCAACCTGTGGCCCATTGGTCACATGTAACCATGCACAGCTAATAATGGGGCTCTACAAGATCGAAAACTCTTAACGTTATGTGATTTTATATTATAAAACTATATTATAATTTTTTTATGTGGCCCAGGACAATTCCTCTTCAAAAATGAAGCCCAGGCAAGCCAAAAGGTTGAGACCCATGCTGCAGTTTTTCATTTAGTATGGTAACATCAGACCCAGTTTCATCTAGTTTTGATTTAATTTGAGTAACAGTAAGCTGAGTAAGTGTTTAAGGCATCAGGAGACAAACAAGAGACTGAGTTCTAATCCTGTCTTAGGCATGAAAGCCAGCTGGATGACTTTGAGCCAGTGGTGTAACCCTAAATGACTAAATTATATTTATAGATATTGCAACATTTTAAAAGCTTACCATATCGGCATCCATGGAGACTCTGAGGCCTATCTTATTCATTCCATTATTTTTCAGTGTTTTGAGATGCTTTCCAAGTGCAATATAAGAAGCCAATGCAATTTCTTTAGCCAGTTGATGAACACTATTGTGTAGCTCACTAACATTTGACAGATAGAATACCTAAAGTATTAATTTAAAAATTAAAACATTAATAGTGGTAGATTTCCCTTCAAAACTACTTAAGATGATACAGCTTCTCTTGAGCAGTGCATAATATGTTCTAGTCACTAGAAATAGAGATAAATATTTAAACACGGTGACAATGGCAATATAAAACCAACATCAGACAAAAACAATTAAGTTTCTATAATGAATTGATTTAGATTCAAAAGAGGAAGTTATGAACTTTCTAATTGGTTCTCCTCACTTTGCTCTTTTATGCTATTGCATTTTGCAGCATCCCCAACTCCCATACCATGTCTCTCATCCCCTGATAATCAGACTTACAATGCTGTTCATATAGTTTTTAAACATGTTTCTAATATTAGAAATACAATTACAATTGTTAAGGGAGGAGAAAATAAAGAGATATTGAGAGTTCAGTACCTGGACTTTAAAGAAAGTACATATATAAATTCCTTTTTATTCCTTTTGCTTACCATTAAAGTGCTTATATTTAGAATATAGAAATACTGTCTTTCTCAAGAAATCAATGTACAAAAATGTTTATAATACAATAATAATTACAAGAATGAGGGAGGCAGAATCATGTGAAAAAGCAAATGTGAAAAATCAAGAGTAAGGAACATAAATATAGGAGATATTCAAATTATGAAGCCTTTTATTTTATTGGCACTATATCAGAATGAATAATTTATTTACAGGGGGAAAAAAATCTGATCTTGCTTGTCATTATCAAAATACCAATGGCTGAAAGTTTCAACTTTTTAGATTTCATGTCCAGGTATTTTGGAGCTTTTTTGGAGAGGGGGGTAATTTTATCTTTTTAAGATGAGTGATCACTATAAGACAGACTGTTTAATTTAATGGACAAATGAGAGTTGGGGTGCAGATAAAAGCATATTCAGAGAACATTAAATATTCTATCTAACTTTATTTAATCTGCATAGGCTTTTTCTTTAAAAGCAACATTCACTTACTTCTGTACATTTTACAAGTTTTTCATCCACTTCAAAACATTCTTCCTGAACTATTTTTTCACTCCATACTCCTTCCATAGATTTCCCATCTATCGGGCTTGTAATTCTATAATGCAAGGTTTAAATTATATTATTTAAACTAATCAGGTTCTTTTGATATGCTCAGAACATCATGAGTTAACTCCAAAAGGACTTATTCCAAGCGTGTCACCCAAGGCATGAAGACCATCCCAGCTGCCCAATTAAAGCAAACAGGCACCTTTGGGCAGCAGATATAGGAAGCTGCAGAAGATGAATTATCATTTTAGTAACACCGCTAAAGACATTATTTCATACAGTACAAGAAAATGGTAAATCCCTGCTATATTTTACCAAGGAAACCACATGAATATATAATATACAGGTTGTCCTTGGTTAATGACAGCCCTATTTAGCAATTGCTTGAAGTTACTGCAGTCTTCCCTGCAGCCATGTAATTATTATTTGTGTGCTATGCAATTGCTACATGTTTACAACAGTCACCATGACCCAGTTATGTAATTGCTATTTGTGTGCTACACAGCTGGCTTCTGACAAGCAAAATCAATGGAGAAGCTGGAAGCTAAATTTCAAGTTAAAGTCACGTAATGTTCTCATTAAATGACTGTGGGTGATTTACTTAATAACTGATATCGTAAGTCAAGCACGGTCATGTGATGTTTCACTTAACGTACTGATGGAATTTTGCCAGTACCTGTTGTGGTAATTAAGTGAGGACTACCTGTAATGTAGTCTGGATACTGGATCTCTCCAATTAGAAGGCAAGAGTTGAGGATCTTTTGCACTATAAATAGCGTTTCAGCCAGTTTCCAAGTATTAACCATTTTACAAAAGAAATGGCATTTTGCAGAAAAATCTTAACACATATGATACTTCTGCTTTAGTGGAATACACAATAAATACCTCATGTTTGTTTTCTCATAATTTTCTATCCAACAAATATCTACATATTCTCTGAAATCTCCTGAATCCACTTTCCCACATGTAATTCGGAAGTCTTTTTTTTCACTCAGAGCCTGACGCAAGCCCTCCATAGTTTCTGGAGTTATCTGTACCATTATTCCATCTATGAAGAAACACAGCCCTTTTAATAAACGTAAAATCCAAGCTTTTAACTACTGAAATAACATTCCTATTGTTAAGATTTACCAGCTGATAGACCACAAGATTTAACAGAACTATCACGATGAGGCAGAAGATCCAATCTGACATCATTTTGATTAATGCACCAGCAGAATATCCGATATTCTGCCATCATAATAGATATGGCAACATCTGAATATGCCACTAGCAAAAATTATCAACAAATAAAATGCAAGACAGCTTTTGGCAAAAAAATATTTTTATATCATAGTTTTAATCCATAGTTAATAGCATTTCAATCATGAAATAATAATCTATATGGTTGAATGCAGTGGCTCCCAATCTTTGGGGCACCAGGGATCAGTTCCGTGGAGAGAGATTTTTCTACGGACTGGAGGGGGTATGGTTCCATGTGCTGCTGCATCCTGCAGATGCGCCTTTGCTTGTTTGTGCGGCCCACTTTTTGGCATGCAAAGGACCAGTAGTGATGGTCCGTGGACCAGGAGTTGGGGACCCCTGGTTTAATGTCGGACCCAACTGAACAGATAATATTGTCATCAAATTATATTATATGATTATATTGTGGGGAGGGTCTCTTCTTCTTTCTTTTCTCTCTCTCTCTCTTTCTCTCTCTCTCTCTCACACGCACACACAAACATGTGCACACAAAAACACAACGTATCTTCTGACCTGAAGTCAGAGTGTTTTCTTACATTTTGTCCAGCACTACCATTTTACACAAGTAAAAAGTTCAATTCTGCTTTATTACATTAAATAATGAAATGTAATTTGTTGCATTTGAACCAATCTTTTGATTCTAGTAAGCAGGATAATCCATACCTTCAACAATACTGGATTTAGCAAGGAATCCAGAAGATGTTTTTAGCGCTCCATTGAACACTACAAAACTTGCACCTGTAACTGAATAAACAACATGCATTTAATTGTTCATCCTAACACCAAATATTATAAACATAATACTGCACATAGAAAGCTACATATGAAACGCTTTCGACTCCTTTAATTCTAGATAAGTGCATCTGGCTTTGATCATTTCTCCTCAGATCATGCCTATATAATTCAGACTAGTAATAAATGCCACTAAGTTAAATTTTTCTGAACGTGGCCCAAGCTCAGACAAAGAGAAAATGATTTGCATTCTAAAAAGTCTACAAACCATAATCCTCAGCAGCTACTCTTTTAATCTATTGCAGAAAAGAAATGTTGACCCTAAATGACTCATTATACATCTTAATACCATCAGCACTAAATAAAATTTTAATGCTGAAGATTCAAAGTTAATGAATAAAAATTTAAAAGCAAGAAAACTTTTCCATGATAATCTACATGTATATTTAGTATGGAACAAGATAGTACCTTTTATAATATATTGGGTATAGATATTTCTTTTCTTCAATTTTTTTTAAATGAATCATACTACATCAGATATTAGAAAACAGGTGCTCAGTATTGTACAGCCTGATACTTACTTTTTCTAGGATGTCCAGTGGCACTATTCGCTTGTGTTTGATATATTCCATCATCATTTTGTATACAAACTAAGTGGGAATCTGCTTGAGAATTAAAACTTGCTCCAATGCTAATGACATGTTCATTAGAGGTGTTTATTACTTTCATGACCTAGAAAACCAAAATATATGTTATGTTATATTATTATATATATTATATTTTATATATTATATTATATATATTATTACTGTATTATTACACTATGCTACACTATACTATATTAGTTGCAATGTCATGAATATTTATTGAGAATAAGTTCCATTCTTAATTTTCCTGATTGAACATGCACAAGATTAAAGTCAAAATATTGACATTATATATGTAACAATTTCAATCAAATAACCTTTTCTTTAAAATCAACTAGTGGCTCTTTTTAGCACACCAGAATTCCTCCCAAAAACTAATGCTGCTACTTCTTTCATGTACAATATTGATTACTACCTACACTGCAAATCCCTTTTTTCCAGACTTGCTGTGAGCGTATAGAAGCATTATTTAGTTTCTTAATATTTGGGAAAATATTGTTAATAGAACAAAAATAATATATGCTAGATTTTTCTTCAATATTATGAAGCCCTCATTATTGTTTTATTTAAATAAAATGTATACCATCAAATACAAAGTTTTCAATATTTCTGAAAGCAGAATAGTTATAGGGCTAATAATTTACTACATTTTATCTTATCTATTCTCCGAGGAGTTTGTATTTTATTTGTATTTAATTTTATTTATATGAGTTAGGACAACAATTCATTGTTCTCATGTGTTCAAACATCCTGAAAAAAATCACCTAGTGAGAATATAAGCCTATATTCTATCTATTCAGAAAAAGTAGCAAATGCTAAAAGGAAGACAAAGCTTTTACAGAAATCTCTGTTATTTCTCCACAAGACTACAAACTTACCTCAAGTTCAAATCCTAGAATCATGAATAAATGTTCATAAGTATTGCAAAAGGGGTCATGCCACTTAGCAATTTAATGTTTTGCTGCAAAAGAACCCACTTTAAATTTTACATATCCATGAATGCTGATTCTTACATCTAGTATCAAGTCTTTACCAGAAATTATACTTACCTCATTATATTTCCTCAGAGGTATTTTAATGTAACTTCTACCCATTTCCATATGAATAAATAAATTATCTATTGTATGTAATGTATATTGATAGTTTCTAAGGTCCTGCAATGCAATAAAAATAGATTAATCTAATTCTTTAATTTTGAACCATGTGAGTAATTTATTACTACTGTTGATAATATAAAAATTAGTTCTAATGTATTAGAATGTTTATAATAGCAAGCTTCATCTATTTTCTTATATTGCTCTTTCAGTATAGCAAGAAGATACTAATGAAATACAAGCAATAGCATATACTTACAACAAGTAAATCCATGACTGTATGGCCTATTTTTCCAAACAGTGGCTTTCTATATCTGATACTTGTCAATGGAGTTGGATATACTAAGAAATAAAAAACAAGAAATGCATAGAGTTTATTGATTCTCTTTAGAAGTTGAAACATAAGAATCAATATTTGCATTTAAAATGAACTAAATTGGCATGGATGAAAACTATACTATTTTAAACACCAGCCTTAAATGCCTCATAGCAAATAAAGTCCTCTGAAAAATGCTTTATGGAAATATGGCAGAAAATGATACTGCAATGCCTGAACCCTTTAATGTTCTTTGGAAACTGGAAACCCTGAGTAATATAGAATTTAAACTATGGATTTATATAAATAGCATGACATATTATTTGGTCTAGTAGTGAGAAAGAAATTATTGTACTGCCATAACTGTACTGCCAAAATGACCAATGAAACTGATAAGTCTTTCTGTAATATTCTTCAGACTAAGACAAATTATAAACCTCATATCAACCCGCACAATTTATCTTTATATGAATATAGATTCAATATTTAAAATTGAAATAAACTTACCCCCATATTCAGCCCCTAATCTCAACATCAGGCGAATAGGAAAAACTTTTGCCCATGGTACTTCCTGTTTATGAATAAGAATGCCACATAAAAAGGGATTTGAAGGTAGCATGAGACCATCTAACTTCTGAAATGTGGGTGTAACAAACAGAAATCCACCATGCTCTTTGCTTCCAAGAAAATCTTCAGTGAATATAATATTTTCCAAATTTCCAATAAATTTTCCTGAGAACAAAAGAATACATGAAATCAAAATTGTAATAAAAATATCCTTGATACAAATAGATAGAAGCCAACCAAATTTCTGATGCCAAAAAGAAATAAACAGATTGCACTTTAAGAGCATTTTTTAATCTAATAAAGGAAAATATTTGTAATTCAGGGTTTTAATGAGGGGTCCTTAGTGCTCTCTGAGATTGGTTGTTTTCTCGCAGACATTACCCCAATTTTTTCTTTATCTGATACTAAGAAAAATCTATTCCTGTAATGCTATCAGCTGATTCCAGAGAAGAGATACGTATCTCAGGTTCTCTCATGTATGACCTTTAGTACAGGTAGTACTCAACTTACAACAGTTCAGTTCAATTATGATACCGAAAAAAGTGACTTCTGACCATTTTTCACACTTACGACTATTGCAACATCCCCATGATCATGTGATTAAAGTCCAGACACTTGGCAACTGACTTCTATTTATGACAACTGAAGTATTCCAGGTCACGTGATCCCATTTTGTGACCTTCTGACAAGCAAAGTCAATGGGGAAGCCAAATTCACTTAACAACCATGTTACTAACTTAAGAACTTCAGTGATTTACTTAACAACCGTGGCAAGAAAAGTCATAAAATGGGGCAAAACTTACTTAACAACTGTCTCAATAAAATTTCTTAGCAACAGAAATTTTGGGCCCAATTGTGATTATAAGTCAAGGACTATCTTTACACAGCAAGAGAAGACTGATCTTACATCAAGAGGAAGAGATTTTTCTCCACCCCCTTAAATCCAAGCCTTAAAAAGCAGTTATTTATGTTCAGTGTTACTCTGCACTGATGAGACTACCAGACCAACAATATAACCATCACATTTTGTACTAGTTGCAGTTTCAGGATAATTCCACATAAAATGTCTTGCAATAGTTTAACCAAGTGATGATCAGGGTGCGAGTTACTGCCATTTCGTATTGGATAACATGGGAGGGGTCCTCAGCTTCGAGAAGGTCTTTGAATACAAGTTCATGGATTTGAGTGCTTTCCCCCATGATCAATGATTGTGACTCAGATAGGATAGAACCGTAGCATGGCACCAAAATTGCCATTTGTTACAAGTTAACAGAATAACAGATTTGGAAGGGACCTTGGAAGTTTTCTACTCCAACCCTCTGCTCAAGCAGGAAACCCTGTAACATTTCAGACAAATGGCTGTCCAATCTCTTCTTAAAAGTCTCCAGTGTTGAAGCATCCGCAACTTCTGGAGGCAAGTGGTTCTAACTGTCAGAAAATTTTTCATCAGTTTCCATCCATTGCTTCTTGTCCTTTGTTCAGGTCCTTTGGAGAATAGGTTGATCCTCCTCTTCTTTATGGCAGCCCTTTAGTAGCCCAGACGAATGCCAGCATTAAGATCAGAGGTCTGAAAGGGCATACTTATCCCATTTAGGTCTCACAAAAGCCAAGCACCAGAGTGTGCAATGCCATTTCTGTCCATTATTGGAAAGATCCAAACAATCTGTTTCCTTTAGGTTTCTCTGTAGCTCACTTGCTACCAACTTTTCAATAATCTTCCCTAAAAAGGGAAGATTGAAGACTAGTCAAATGCCTTTAGGCAGGGAAATTTCTTCAGAAAAGGATATAATATTACCCCCTTGGAAGCAGGCAGCATTGTTTGTTTGTTTTCCTTCTCTAGAGAAGTTTTTCCTGGATCCAATTTTTCAGTGTCCCACTTGGCCACCCAAAAGATCAGCAGATTGCTGCAAGTCACAGAATTAACAACTATAGAAGACCTATTTGCCTCCTTCGGTTCTACAAACTCAAATGTATCCTAAATCAATGGTTCTCAACCCGTGATCCATGGACCCCTGGGAGTCTGTGATATAGTCCCCAGGGGGTCCATTAAAGCTTGAAGAAATGTTATGATTTAAATGTATACAAAATACCACATTCTCATCCACAGTGGACTCTTGTAACTGGCATCCAATACAAAGTGGATAGAAATAATTTTATCTGCTAAAAAATCCATAAAAATATGGCAGTCTTTCTGAATTGAATTTTCTTTTGATGTCCACAGTTCCCAATATTCTCAGTATCATCATGTTGTTTTGGGTCCAGAGGAGCTGCCTTCTTCTTCTCAGTACAGTCTTAATACATACGTCCCTAACTCAACTGGAAGACCATCTAAAATAGTATTAAGTAATATCACAGGAACTACACTGAATGTGTACAAATTATCTATGGGCAGAAGGTGGGGTGGGATTATGCTTAGCTTCTAGGGATCACGCCATAAATTTTTGGCCCGAACAATTTTGGGAATTTACTGAGGTTCCCCCTGAACTGGCCAATACCTATATAGAAGAAAAGCAGATAAGTTATGGATCAGCATCATTTCTAGGTACAATTTAGAAAGACGATAAGTTTAGGTTAATGCCTCATGCATATTTTAATGCCTCAGAATACTAGTGTACACTAGTGATCGATGTCAGATAAATCAACTCATTAAATAGAAAATCTAAAATGTTATTCAGCTTCTCTCTTTCTTCTAATATCTAATACATACCCAATAAGGTTTGTTTAAGGGATGGGGGTTATGCTTAAAGATGGACGTTCCTGTAAATAAGAAGGGATAAAGTGACCTAAAGCCATTTCTGAATGTATAATTACACAGGAAAACTGACTTCCATAAAAGCAACATTCTATTATCATCTACAATATTTTTCCAATTTATAAAAAGATTCTAATTAAAAAGTGCTGAATCAGTATCTGCATAAATTTGCTATGAATGAATTAAACCTCTCTCTGTGCATATAAGATTAAGAGCAACAGACCACATTAAACACAAATTTAAAGTTTTCAAACATTCATTCTAATACATACTGTATTAGAAGTCTAATAAAACTTCATACCTTTCATGGCATCTTTATATATGTTGATAAATAAGTTGAATATTTCTTTGGGAATATCACTTTCATCTGATAAACAATGTAACAATATGATAATTTCAGCTTGTCCCAAGCCATGCATTCCATTGGTGAATAAATACCAGCATTTTTCTGAATTATCTAAGTGACAAAAAAAAAACCCACTGAGCCTTTTTATGTTGTTAAAATACAAAAAATAGAATTTTATATCTTTTGCAATGTATCCAATAGACCAATTCCAACCTAATCCAAAATTATAATCTGCCACAAAACTGTTGTTAGGCCAGAGCTCTGCCAGAATACATTATCATTCCCAGAAATGAAATTATAACAGTCCCTACCCTCTATTGATTTAATTGTCAGAGAAATTAATTGCTTAAGTCAGGTTTGGCATAAAGTGACTCCTAGCTCTCATTTGAAATTGAGAAGCTATATTCAATGGTTCCAAAGTCAATCTTCTTCACTTACTTGTAAAGAACCCTACTCAGAGATCATTCCCTAGCTAACATGCTGAAAAAAAAAACCTTCCAAATTTAGAAATACGATGGGAGTGCATTGTCTGGCCAACAGCTATTCTTTATCACATTGTGGTGGAGTTATTAAATTACATAAATCTTATTATAAAGAATAAACATATCACAATGAAATGAAACCAACTTTAGATTACTGTATCTAAATTTTTTATTTGGATTTGATATTACTTGACTTTCTATACCACTATCTTTCCATTTAATTTAGCCCAATGAAGAATTTGCAGGGGGAGGGATTCTGCACTAATATTTGATTTTATACAAACTATTAGCCTTCTGTTTTATATCACTATCAATTTCCACAATACTTTAGAATAATACCAAAATGTTTTGCATTCCAAGGCAATAAAGTATATCTCAATGGTAAAAAAGGCTATTTATTCAAAAGTAGATCAAAGTAGCAATAACAAGGCAGAAAGAAAAATGTAATTGGAAGGTAGAAAAGGCAATTAATTATAAGATAGAATAATAATTTTAAAAATCTTTTAAAAAATCAATTAGAACTGAGCAGTCAATTTTAATAGTTCAGAGTTTACATTTGCAACTATAATTATAATATTTTACAAGGTTTTATAAATTTGATATGCTAATACTTACAAGATATCATCTTGACATTCACAAGTAAGTTTGCATTTAGGATGAATGTCAATGGATTAGATTCTTCAAGCAATAAGATAACTTGCTCATTAGAAGGATGTTCTTCTATTAAGGACTCTGAAGAAAATATGAAACTATTGGTCCAAAATATAATACAGTAAAAGACAGACAATGCTATTCTGAATTTTTTGAGGAAAAAATTAATAACAACCACACTGAGACAACTAATGTTTGGGATGTAATCCAGATTAATGAAATATGAATGAACTAAAGCTAGATGAAACCACCTTTTTAATATTGCCTCAGTTCTTAACCTTATAAAAAATAGATCTGTAAATACCTATTTCAGTTTGGCAATGGTAAACATATACTATTGAAGTTTACTATTTGTATGACTAGTGAACACACTTATTTTAACTTATCTAAAATTAAACATATATGCAACGACTTCAGTTTCCTTGAGAAACTTTCTATAACTGTGATGGCCTAATTCATTAGATCAGTGGTTCTCAATCTGTGGGTCGAGACCCCATTTGGGGTCGAACAACCATTTCACGGGGATCGCCAAACAATGCAGTCCGCCATTTTTTTCCCCTTTTCCTTAGCTGTGCTACTCCCTTTTATTCTATTGGCTTTTGAAAGCCAATAGAATAGACTCTCTTGAATAGAGTCTAATTCTATTGGCTTCCAAAAGCCAATAGGAATTGTCCAGGCTGTCTCTGCCCTGCTGAGCCCGCCAAAAGTCCCAGTCTGCAAACGGTGCTGCACCAGTTGAGTAGTCCTCAACTTACGACCGGTTGAGTAGTCCTCGACTTATGACCGGTTGGGGGTCGCGGCATTAAAAAGGTTAAGAACCACTACATTAGATTCTATTAGGCCACACAAGAGAATTGTGACCATGAATAAGGTTTCCTTTGCCAATCTCAATGCGTAAATTCACTTGTATTGAAAATATATTAATCTTGAATCCAGTTCAGTCGTTCCTTAGCAACTAATGCAATAGTGTTCAATTAAGCATGTTATTTCTCATTTAGCTGCTTAGCTGCTCCACTTAAACTAGCAATTACACTTTAAAGTACTGCAGCTTCTACACCAGACATGTCAAACTCGCGAGGTCACGTGACATCACGCAACGTATCAGGAGAGCTTTGCCATTGCTGGCAAGGGGGTGGGCGTGGCTTCTGCATGACACGTCTGGCTCGCGGGCCTGCAGTTTGACACCCCTGTTTAAGGTAGCTCCAGGTATGCTGCAATAATGTAACCATGAAACTGGTAAGATATGGATAACCAGGAAATCCTCAACTTTTGAAATCAAGCATGCAGCACTAGATGTAGCAGCTATTGTGCATGTAAAGATAGCTCTGGATTAGTCCCATCAAAAAACCACAACCTTATGCAGAACATGCCCTATCCCAAAGCACCTCATTTTCCCAATTTTGTATTTCAATTCATATACCCTAATCTAGTAGAAATGTATACTGACACCTACATTTGTCTTCTTGTTTCATTATAACAAAAAATTACATTTTTTTCTGCACAATGGCAGAATCGCAGCAGTTAATTTTGGTTCAAATCCAATTTCTAAAAATCAAATTCTTAGCCTAAGAATTGGTATATATAAACCTTTCTGTATTTCGTATTACATATTTACATTAAATGTATATTTATATTAGTAACACCACTCTGGGTTTCCTTAGAAAGAAGTATGGTATAAAAACAAAATAAATAATAATGATGTACTAATATGATTTATTTTATAATTTTACCTTTCTAAAGTGCAAAATAATTTGAAAGGGGAAGAAGCAGTCCTACTTTCCATAGCACCTTAAAAGCAAGACATTACCTTTGCCATTTTCTCCTCTTGCAAGCAGAAGAGGTGGAAATCCATCACCAGGAATAAGGCTGATCTCTTTGCCAACACAGTTTTCAATACAACAGAGCATCCTGTAGTCTAATATACTAGTAGATATATCAATTGCTTGACCAGTTGCAGCAGGAAGAAGTTCCTTTTCTAGTTCAGAAACAGTAGGAAATTCAGTAACAGCTGTGGTCACAAAGTCAGAGTCACATGGCACTTCAGTTTGTGCAATGGGCAGACAGTCAGAATCACGCGATAAGTCAAGCTGTTCATTACTAGGCAATGCATCTTCTTGTGGAACAGAAGTGGAACCCCTTGCAACCCCAGTTTGTTCATGTATTTCATCTTTTGACTTGGTATCAGTTGCAGAGAGAGTTTCATTTGTTGGGCTTCCAACCTATGACAAAAGTTTTTCCATTAGAACTGACATTCATCTGAGCTCAATATTGAAAAATTTGTGGCAATACTTTAACTTTGGGTTGAGAGAGCTTTTGCCAGGAAAACAAATGAATAAATAAAACAAAATCAGCCAGCATTCTGCACACATAAAAAACAAAATTAAATGCAGTGAAGCAGTACCTATTACTTTATTTATTTCATTTGTATGTGATTTAGGACAGTCTGTAATAAAACAAAAAATACTTAATATAAAACAAAAATAATAATACATAGCAGCTGGGCACAATGTTACTGTCATGTATACATCAAGCCAAGCAGGGTCACAGAATCAAGCACAAAGCCAAATTTTCAAGGCCCTAAGAAAGGCCAACAGAGAGAACACTGATCTAATCTCAGAGGCCATGATGCTCCATATCAGAAAAGATTCTCCTTCTGGGCCCTGCCAGCCAACATTACCTAGCTGATGATACCCAGAGCATGCCCTTCTTGCCAGAGAATGGGTAGAAATGGATAGAAACAACTGAGGAAAGACAATTCTGTAAGTAATCCAGTCCTAAGCCGTTAAGGGGTTTAAAGGTGACAACTAGCATCTGAAAGCATACCAGAAGCGAATGCAGCTCATGATATGATCATGATCACATATAGCAAATAACTGACACCAATAACTGCCTGCACTGCTGCATTTTGCATCAGTTGAAACTTCCAAATACTCCTCAAGGGCAGTCCCATGTAAAATGCATTTCAGAGGTCCAATCTGGAAGTCACATGGGAATGAGTGGCTGTGAGCAAGACCCACCAGTTTAGGAACTGCACAACTGGCACAATGCCCTAGCTATTCAAAGGTGCTCCTAGCCAGAGCTGCCACCTGCTCTATTTGACCGGTATATTTTCTGTATTAAAAAAGACAAAACAGAGTCTTGAATGCCACATTTATCAACTAGCTAATTGTATTCAGAGCCTAAAATGATAATTTCAGATAAAGTGGGGCTTACAGGTTCCTGTGGGAATCGCCTGACTCCAGATGACAATTTGGTTGTGTCTGCAACTTCTCCATTGGGTAAAATTCCATCTGCAAACCAAACTCTTCTCTGGTCTTTAGGGAGCAATCCTGTAGAAGAAACAAATGAGTACATCAGAGATACTTGTTTAGCTACAGTAATACCAACGTCACCTCCCTGTTTTCCCCATACAAAAATTTATTTAGAATCCACATGATGGTACTAAAATCTAATAAGCAGGTGAAATGAAACGTGATGAATATCATGGTATCCCAAACACAGGATTTCTGCAACTAATAATGTCAAACAACTCCTGTACAATACTTTACATACAATTTCAAGATGGAGATGGATACGCAGATGGAAGAATTTCAAAGGAGCTAGAAGAGTTCACTTTTCAACACTAACTTAAATAGGCTCCTTTTTCATTTTTTCCATCTCAGGTATAGAAATGTTATCTTAAAGGTACTTAGGGGAACTTATTCCTTAGGGGAAGTTCCATTCTTCACTAACGAGTATCACAGGTTATATGCTGAAAAAAAAATCACCATAAAATAAATATTTTGTGAAGAATTTACTCACCTAACAAAACAATACAGTCTGCAAGTTTACTGTGTAACAATAAATATCTAGGAATGCTTGGGTAGTAAATGACATTTAGCTTGGCTGATTTTTTTAATCGGTATGGATGTGTAGCCTCTAGATGCTGAATTATAACTCCCATTATCCTTATCACTCTCTTTACTAGGCAGTGCTGTCAAGTGAGATACAAATCTGGATGACCACTCATAGCTCCTTTCTGTTCTTTTAACTATTACTCTTTATTATTTATTTATATACAGTACATATATCTCATATTTGTAAACTACCCTCCTCCCTCAAAGAGGGGCTCTCTAGGCAGTGAAATAAAGCTAGATAATAATACGGAGTAAGAAATACCAGATGTCTGGGTTTCCTGCAGAGATGGAACAGTTGAAGATTCAGACAATACAGAATTAGGTGATGGACCAGTTGGGGTCATCATTCTTTCTAATGCCTGTGCTAACAAACAAAATTTAAGAGTATAAATGTCAAAACTATATACAACAAATATTTCACAAACGTCTGCTTGGGGGTATATTCATATGCCTTGTAAAGTATATATATACTTTTTGAAGTAAAATTTCATTTTACAAAACATTTATTTAAAAAGCATTACTGTTTATTTCAATCTAAGTTTTTAACAAAATGTATTCTTTAAGTCCTATGTTTGTTCTTGGAAATTTATTTAAGATAATAATGACATTCCATAGTCATTGACACTTCTCATTCACGGCTTTTAAAGGGTCGCATTTAAAATGCAGATTTAGTCAGTTTGAAGAAAATAGAATTATTTGAAAAAAAAAACCAGATCTTATTTCAGTTATTTTTGCTCCTGTGACATCTAGCTGGACTGAATTATTATACTGCATTATATATGGGTTTTACTTTAAGGACGCTGAAAAATGTTAACTGAATGTAGCTCCCACAGGGAATGGGCAATATGAAATTTAATATCTAGATTAATCAAATTAATATTTTTGAAAGAGCATCTTTATCTCTAAGATCTTCATGTATCCTGAGATGCTATTTATTTGGTCCATTTTTAAAACCATTTAGGCTGATGGCCGTGAGGCAAAAGATTTCTTTGGCAATAAACACACAGGCCCTACCATTATACAACACGAAATGGTTCCAAGACCCATTTATTTACTGTTGCTTTCTCTTAAATATTTTCTTTTGTAGATGATATTTATCATCATCATTTACATAACAGCTATATGTAACTATTATGCAAGATATATTTATCTTTACATTTTCACACAGAACAAAAACCCTGTGAGATCAGTCAGACTAAAAGAGAGTCACTAAAAAAAGTGGTTGTTTCCATAATTAAGACTGGATTAACCTGGTGCAGTTCAATACTACAAACACTACCATTGGTTTTGTTATTACATTTTGTACAAAAATGAAATGGGAATTAACTATTGTTTATTTTGAAGGAAACAGTATTTGTTATTGAATGTGAGCTGTTTTGGTATTTACTGGCTTAAAAAAAATTAAGCTTTATTTTTTTTACATATTGCAAGTATATGCATATCAAAACAGCTTTGAGTTTTACCCTACTTTTTCTTTAATTTTTTTCTTAAAAAAGAAATTTCTTTTTCTTCTTTAAACTTCTTTAAATAAATAAAAGCATTCATGGAAGGTACATATTTATCAGTTACTCAAAATGCCTATATCTGTAAACAATTAGAAACAATTTCAATATTTCTGCATCACAATGTGTCACGCTGGTAACTTGGGCCCTGGGACATTTGAACATGCACAAATCCCATTCACTGCTTCTATAAACATAAAAACCAAGATCAGATTCACCGAAATGGAATACAGAAAAATGTATTGACACATTTAAACTCTTTTTCTCCAGGAGGACAACAGCAACTGTAGAATGAATAATCTGTTCTTTCTGGGGAAAAATTCTACAATATCCATTAGCCACTGCCAGTGTAAAAATTAATTGCATTAATTGCAGTATACCAAAGTATGGATCACCCATACATACATTTATACAGTGTTATTTAGTATAGTATCTGAGCACTCTCTTATATACATGGTAAGTTTGTGATACTCGATCCTAGTTGCTTATTAGTTTGTTTCCTTTTTTTGTATTTTATTGATATGACATGTTTTCATTGCTGTCTGGAAATACAACCGGAAAGGTTCATATGTCCAATTTCTTATCTAAAACTGTTATCTGAAATGTTCCATAAGATGTATATTATCTTTTTGTTCAGAGGGCAAAAGATGGGATACACAATAGACTCTTCTCCCATTTTTCCACAACAAAAACCCATCTGGTAGATTATGCTAAAAGAGAGTGACTCTCCCTAAGTCATCAAATAAGCTTCTATAGCTAAGGATGGAGTAAAAGCTGAGTTTTCCTGGTGTACTACTATAGCACACTAGTCCTCATGCTTTGCACAAAAATGAGATATTTATCACTTATTTTGAAGGAAACTATATGGATAGTCCTCGAGTTACGACCCCAATTGCGATTAGAATTTCTAAGTGAAGCAGTGATTGAGCAAAACATCCCGTGACCATACTGCCTGGGGGCAGCTATTGCATAAATTTTAGTTGTGGCCATTAGGACAGGACCATGGGGTCATCAGGTGGAAACTCATGTGATCACAACTCGTGACTTCCTGCCAGCTTCCCCATTGACTTTGCTTGTCAAAGGTCAGGCGGGAAAGTTGCAAATGGCAATCATGTCTCCCAACAGCTGCCATTTCTGGCTTGGCGCCTCTGAGCCCCAATTCTCTATTCCTCCAAGGCCAAGGACATTTCAGGAGATCACTGAGCCCGAAGAAGTCAATTTATTTCTCCTGCCCTGCATGAGCTGTTTTCTCTCATTCCCCAATCTCTCTCCTTTTGGGCACCCTGCACGGTATGGCTAGGACACACTGTATCCTACTGCCGCCTGCCTGATGCTACTGACCTCATCAGACCTTTCTCTCTGTCCTCTTCTTCAGGGCTATCATCTTCTTCCTCCTCCTCAGCGTCAACTTCCCCTCCTGTCCCCTGGGCTCACTGATGCCAGCCAGCCTCTAGCTCCACAGCACTGGGGCTGTCTGAGCTAGGCTTGCCCCCATTCATTGCTGCCACTGCTGAGCCCAGTTCTGACAAAGGCATGAAGCTGGTTGGCATCAATAAGCCCAGTTGAGGAGAGGCAAGACAAGGCTGAGGAAAAAGATTATGGCACCAAGAAGGAAGACAAGGAAAAAGGTCTGTGAGTAGGTGATGGCAGAATATAATGGTATCTTCATCTCAGCCATGCTGTTCAGGGAAGCCAAAAGGACAGAGATGGGAGGGGGAGAGAGTTAGATGGGGGAGAGTGAAGTGGAAGCACACAGAGACTGGGGTATGGTCATAAATGTGGGCAATTGCCAAGTGCCTATATTTTGATCCCTTGATTGTGGGGATGGTGCAATGGCTGAAACTCCTAGGATTGGTCAGAAGGTTTATTTTTTTCAGCACCAGCATAACTTTGAATAGTCTCTGAATGAGTAATTGTAACCTAAAGACTAGGTCAATCACAATCTATATAATGCATATTGAGGACTATTCCTATGCTTAGTTGTGAAATTCATATTCTAATAGTAATTATGAGAAACAAATTATTAAATTCAAATAATTTTAAAGTATGCTCTCTTTTCAAATAGAGCATACGGAAACAGCTACTAAATGATTTCATCTTAAATATTTCACATCATGATGTTCACATTGAGAATACATGTTCCAACATTCAGAAATTATTCTAGTTACTTTTTGTTTCTTCTAATTCTCTACAACTATATTTTACCTTTGTTAATGGACTCATAGCAGCTTATACAGACTCTCGCTTCTTTATCCAGATATTGGAGTTTGCATTTTCGATTGCAACAGGGAGCACAAAATATCTAGTTTTAGTACAAAAAATGCATTAAGATTTTATAAGTATATGGATGTGTGTATTTTGAAGTAGAAACAGGTTAGGATCACATACTAATTAGAAAAGGCAGAAACTAGATGAATAAAGGTATGAGAACTATAATATTTATAATTTAATACCAGTAGAGACCAACAATCAATTAAATAACACAGATAATTTCATGCTAAAGAATTTATTGAAGCTATCTTAAAGAAGTCAATAAATATGGACTTAGAAAATCACAAAGCTTATAAAATTATCGAAGTATATATTTTAGCCAACATCCAGAAACATTTTCAATAAATCAGACCAAAAAGTTTACATGCTGGTCAAACTTGATTTTAATGGTGTAAAGAAGAACTATTAGTAAAGGGAATTTATTTTTTGGAGGCAAAAGGGGGAGAAGACCTTCCCTTTTCCTCAGCTATAAATGAAGAATTATAAAGATGATCAATCAAGAAAAAATGGTTTAGTTTACTTACTTTCCCACAGGCACGACAGTGGTGTCTTCTTTTTGTAAATGTGAATTTGGCTTGACAATTCATGCACTTTGATGCTTCTAAGTCAGGAACCCAGGATGGCTGCTTTTGTCCCAAGGCTGTAGCTCGTCCCACTACTTTCTTTGGCTCTGAAACCATAGGTAAGACATTTTCTTCTATGTTTCCCAAGCATCTTTGTCTATTATGGCTAACATCTGATTCAGGAGAAATTTTACCATCTGAGACAAAGTTATTTGAGTCTGTGGAATTTATCATTTGGGATTCATTCCCAGATGTATTTTTATTGCTAAACTCAGAAGGGATTGTGGCTTTTGGTTGAAGGTTTAGTAGCTGCTTTGGTCTTGCTCCTCCACTGTGCACTGTTGGCTGGCCATTTAATGAACCTGAAACTTCACTTCCAATCTCAGTTGTGTTATCTATAGTCTCTTGTTGAACCTGCTGTGTTTGTTTTTTCACTAGGATACCTAAACTAGATTCTGGAATACTGATAAAATTATTTTCATTATAGGCTTTTGCTTTCTTAAATTCCAATTCTGCTTGAATGCTGTCACTATTGATATTCAAATTGCTTATATCCAGTAACTTGTCATTTATTACATCAGATTCCAAAAGTCCACTGCTAGTATCTTCTTTTAGAGGCTTTGAATTATTTGCTTCAAAACAATGTTCAGACAAAAAGGCATCAAGTTCACTGTCACTAATGAGCATGTTGCTTCCAATAATGTCTTCTTCTAAAGCTAGATCAACAAAAGGTCTTTCATCAACGTCAATAGGCTGAACATTGCTGCACATTTCAGTATCTTTAGCCAAAAAAGGACTAGTAGTCACACTAAAATCCTGATGTTGGAAAGGCTCACAATTACTAGAAACAACACATTCTCTACTTATTAAGGAAGATTTCTGTATCTCACATTCATTGGTTTGGTTTAAACTGCTCTCATTTTCTAAAGTTTCTGTTTTTCCAAAAGAATCACCTTCAGCAAAGCTATTTTCACTGTGCAGAGCTATGTCTCTAATGGCATCTTCTTTCTGAGTAATCTTTCCATTTGTGTTGTCAGTATTAACTAATGATGTACATATAGAAACTGCAAGTGGAAGACAGGATAATGAAGTCTGTATGTCTTCAGAGATCTCTGGTACTGAAACCGTATTTAAAGTTGTATCAGTATCTTGCTGTGAGTTACAAGACTTGTCAGTTGTGCTATGTTCTTTATTCATAGATTGCACATTTTCTGTCTGAGGAGCAGAATCACATAAAGAGTTTTTGTTACACATTACATTGGGATTATTCACTTCATGGATCTTTGGCAAATGCAAAGCTTCTGATTCGTTTATATCTTCTGAAATGCCTTGCTTGTCACTCTCATCATGTATCATTTGACTTTTTGAATTTTCATCCACTAGTGTCTCACAAGGCAGCTTTTCACATGTTGATTCATCTTTGGATCCAAGCACAGCTGAAAGATAAATTACTGAAGCTGACGCTCTATCAGTTCCTATCATTTGTTCTTTCTGATCAGATATTTTATTATTTTTCAAACATTTTGTTTTTTCTTGATCTTCACTGCAGTCTGTTATATTTGGTTCAAAAGGAGTATCTGTCTTTAATTTCCACTGATTAAGTTCTCCTGCTGCATCATATTGCATTTTGTATAGTGCTTCATCTGTCTGTTGCTGTGTACCAGAATCAGAAATGTGATCATCAACCATTGTATTATTAACTTTGGTTGATAGTAGTGCTAAACCAAAGCCATCAACTGAAAGACCGTACTGAGACTCCTCTGGCTGCAACTTTTGAATGCATCCTACATTATTTTTTAGTTGGCTCAAACCACCTGTGTCATTGATAAGATCGCAGACAGGTATACTGCATCCCTTCAAGCAAGACGACTGATTTTTATCTGAAGAACCATCCCCCACCATGGACAGAAGATCTAAACCAGTAACATTTTTCTCATTCTGGTCAGAGTTCAATTGTTCAAAACTTGCTGCTTTTGTAGTTTGAGAAGACAATGAGCATGCATCTGATACAGCACAATTGACATTTTTTTCCACATTTGGCTCAAAGGATTTTGGCTGCTGGCAAGATGAATCTGACAAAACTAAGTGGTACTCAGAGTTACAAAGATTTATAGTGCTGCTGTTTTCAAGTTCATCTAAAAAAGAAGAAGCATATTATTAGGAATTTCATCATTCATTTACTACTATATACACTGCTCTCTCAATTACAAATATTGTCTACAACATCTGATTATATTTTTCCCCACCTTATTTGTCTATTGTAGATTTAAATTTATCTGAAAAATACTACACATACCAAAGAAGTGACATACCATAAGAATATATTTTTGAACCGATCTCGTTGGACCTATGGGAGGTAATTTGGACTAGAAATGTTAAATTTATGCAGGCCCAGAATTTGAGGGAAAATTTTTATAAAATGCTTTATAGATGGCATCTGGATCCTAAAAAACTGTCCTGTATGTACCCGAACCTGCAACCTAAATGTTGGAGATGTGGTTGCTTGGATGCAACCTATTTTCATATTTGGTGGACTTGTAAAGTTATTAAAGCCTTCTGGATTATGATTTGGTGGAACATTCAAAAAGTTTTTAAAAGGAAGATTAAGTTTACTTCCCAACTGTTTCTTTTGGAAATTTTTGTGGATTTTAATGTTAAAGAAACTATTTTAATGTTGAATTTAATAACAGCAGCAAGATTACTGGTGGGTCAATATTGGAAGAAGGATACTCTGCCTTCTTTAGAAGAATGGGTATTTAAGGTTTCTAATTTAGCAGAAATGGCTAAAATTTCTGCTTATTTAAAGGACCATTCACAAGAGAGATATTTTAACGTATGGAGAAGATGGATAGAATATGTTCAGAAGAAATATGGAACTACAAAGTTTCACTTATTCTATGAGTAATGATTTTGTTTATAAACTTATGATGTTAAAGTTTGAAGAGAGTTAAGGGTTTTTATGATTTTGTTCATTGTATAATTAGTAAACTTAAATAGATTATGTTTAATATGTTTGCATAATCCTGTATTTTGCTCTGGGAAGTCGGGGGGAGGGGGGTGGGGGGAGGAGGGTGGATGGGTTGAAGTTTAAGTAGTTCAGATAAAGTAGAAATAGTCTTATTGTATATAATATTAATGTTTTAATTTTGAGAGAGGAACTGCTCGGGCATTTCCCCTGGACCGCATCAAGAGGGAGAAGAAGGTGAGAAGTAGGAAGGTGGAAGTGAAGGAGGAGAGGGGTGAGTGAAGAAAAAGAGGGAAAGAAGTAAGTTGGTTTGAGGTGGGATGCGGTTTGGGGGGAAATGGGTGGGCAAGACCGAATGTGGTATATATCAATTTGTTTTATTTTTTATCTGAAGTATTTGTAAGATTGTTATGTATTGTAAAATTGAAAATAAAAATTTTTACCAAAAAAAAAAAGAACATATTTTTATCTATTTTTATACTTGCTGTTCACATACATGGTAGAAGACAAAAAGAATGAACCAACCTGCATGCTGTTCAAATTCATCAAGTAATTTGTCCAAATCAGAGACAGCTGCTTTAAAATAACTGTCCATTCTAAGACTTGATCAGTAAATTCTTTTTTCCTGTTGCACCTGTAGGAAACAATGTAATGAACTAAGGCAAAAAAATAGATGTAGAATTACTAGATGATGCACATTAACCTAAAATTATTTTTAAATTCAATTCCTAATTCTTTAAGAGTGATTTTTAATAAAAAAAAACCCTTGTTTATAGTTCTGAATTAAGCTGCCAGGACGGACACTTGGAAATCAGGAATAAAGCTTAGCTTTAGTACTCAAAAAAAAAAATCCAACACACAGCATGTGCTCAGAAACATCTAAACTTATGTAAATATATTGCCTTCTATTATAAGCAAAAGTAACACAAGTAATGGTACTTTTTCATACCATTTCCCCTCAAAACAGGGAGATAGCAAATACGAATCTTTCCCACTTCTATCCTGTTGTTTTTCAAAATTTAGAAATTGCCAAACTATTCTAAATCTGAAATACTCTGGTCAAATGTAATGTAACGACTAAGTTCAAATTCCTGCTATTCCTGCCTGCAAACCCATGAATTATATTTTATAATGTATGAACCCTGGTAATTTTGACTTACTCAGTAAGACATGATTAAGTAACCCTTTGCTTAGCATGACTAGGATCTCAGTCACTATGAGAGACTGAGTTTTAGACTTGAAAATTTTCTAAACTATGAGTTTAGTTTTTCTAAAGTAACTTTGATTCTATGTTAAAGAAAGTTATTTAAGATTTTAAAATAAGCTAAATTCAGCAGTGCCCCAAAATTGCACTAAATGACCCTTCTGTCATCCAAATGAAATTTAGAAAATGAAAGGAGAAAAAAATAAATCTGGTTATTTCACTGGCTACTCACTGATTATTCTTATCAACACATTGTAGTGATAGTTCCTATCCTCCAATAATTATTCAAGTAAGCTACTTATCTTCTATCATTTTATTAAAGAATTCTGATCCATAGGATTTATACTATTTCTGTTTAGTTATACCAGAAATTATTCATTTTACATCATTTGATTTATCTTAAAAGCTATATAAGCTTTAAATAAGTCTCGCTCTTACAGATTATGGATTAACATATAACAGAATAGATAGCAATTTTAAAATTATCATCTACTATATAAGCAGATTCCACATAAGGATAGCAATATACTCAAAATCATGCACATTGAAAACAATAGTTGAAACATTAGAGTAAAAAGACAGCAACAATTTAACTTTTCTTCAAACATATACTGTTTATAAAGTTCTAAAAAGCTGAAAAATATTGCTATGCTATGTCATGATCAAACAAACTTTCTGAAAGTTTTATGTTACACAATATGATTAACATATATAAATGAATTACATTAATCAGCTGACTAAAAGAGAGTGGAATGAGATTTTCTACTCTGAACAAGAAAATCATAAAAGAAACAAACTTATTAATAATCATTAATAAGAGTATTAAAATCAGTTTTTAGATACAACACTATAGGGAGAAATGAAATAATATCCAACATAACAGATTTTTTTCTATCTTGATGTATGAAATGAAGCAGAAAGGAGACTACTGGAAAAAGAAAATATAAAAAAGAGATTGGGCAAATAGACAAAAAAAAACCCCATATTAAATAATCTCAAAGTTGATGATACACAAAATTCTTTGATTGTTGAACTAAAGCCAAATATTCTTGATAGTGAAGTTAAATAGGTACCAGAAAATATTGCTAACAACAAAGCTGCAGGATTCTGTTGAAATATGAGCTGAACTATTAACTACATCATCTTGTAGTGTTTCAAAGTGGAATTTGTGATTTGTAAGCATGTTTGAAAAACACAGCAATAACAAGGGGACTGGAAAAGATATGTTTATATTCAAATTTCAAAAATGGGCAGTGCTAAAGAATTTTGAATTATGAATAATGCTAGATCCTAGTGCAAGACTTGGAAGTCAAGTCCTCAACAAAATATGGCACAAGCTAGACTTTCAACCTGGATTCAGAAGAGGCAAGAAAATCCAAGATCACATTGCTACCATCGGCTGAATAATAAAAAAGGCAAAGAAATTCCAAACCAAGAGCTTTTTTTCTTTATTATACCAAAGCTTTTGACTATGCAAATCACAGCAAACTATCACTAGCCTTTAAAAACATAAGTGCCTATTAAAGAAATCGTATGATGATCAGAAAGCAACAATTACAACAAAACATGGAACTATTAAATTATTTAAACCAAGAAAGTGGTATGTATTTAACTCCATTTGTTGATTGTATCATGAGAATTTCTTGACAATAGAATGAAATTAAAATGGCTTCAATAAACTAAGATATTTTAATGATAAACTTTGATGGGTTACAGGATAAGGAAGGTAAGGAAGACAAGAAATTTTCTGTTGAAGGCTAAAAAAAAGATATGAAAACTCCCTCCCCCCAAGATTATGTCAGTGAGCTAGTAGTAACAAACTTTAACTTTTTAATCTCAAATTCAATACTAAATAAAGTCAAGTCAAAAGCTCACTATTTAAGAAGCAAGAATTATTTGAAAAATCACTGAAGTCTGGCAAAATAGAAAACAATCCAAATCAGGCCAGCAGATAACAACCAGATGTGAGCAGGCTATTATTTTTATTCTCACTGCTGACAGAAGCAGGAACTTAGAACTTTAAAGAACATTTATTGACAGTCTTGATAAAATGATGCCCATATTTTTTTTACTAAATTTTTATCCCAGAGTATACCAAATAAAAGCATGCTTCTTAAAAAAGTAGTTTTAAGCAGGGAATTGTTGTCTCATTTAACAAGTGTTACACATTACTATATACTACTTGTAATTTACCATGTTCTCATGCTTTTCTTTCTCAAAAAAACCCACAATGCTATAAAAAGATGAAATAATTGCACAACATATTCTGAGTGGTAGTTGTTGTAACTCCTCTCCCTCCTCATCCCTGCCTGAAACCAAATCACACAAAGTTGCAGTAACATATTATTTATAATGGATAAAAAATTCCCAATCCTAGTAGTCCAAACAACTAAGTATTTGGACTTTTTTCTAGGCCTAGTATTAAGGCTACCTTAAGCGCACCATAAAGACTTATTTGCGGAGCTCATTATAAGCATTATAATTTTTGATGTTTTAATCCAGAATTAGTATCTTTATGTAAAATCTGCCTAGCGAAAAGTGCAGGATGTGACAATACAACCATCATTTCAGGCAGATATTCTACATGATTATGCTGGATTACAGTGCACAATCCATAATCAACATAGTGCAATAATGAGTTGAAACTGGGAGAAAGTGACCTATGTATTATACTTACTTCCACTACCTTGCAGGAAGTGAATACTTTTAAATATAAGAAGAGGTTATCCTGTTATTTTAACCTTGTGTCTGATCACTCTACACTGACACTGAGCATCTGTGATATGGCCCCAGAGATCCTTGGTCCGGCTTTCAAGTACATATAGACGGAGGGATATCCTTCAGAGCTGTCTAACCCACTGAGTAAGTCCGATCAAAGCTGGAACTGGTTTATGTACAGGACATTTGAGGAAGTAAAAGCAAAGGGCGAGAAAAACAAGGGAAAGAACAGGAGTTCTATTCGAGGGAAGAGAGGCGGAAAGAGGGGTTCAGAAAGGATCGGGACAGACAGCCCGGGCTTTCCAGTCTATCTTGGTTCTGCACCAACCAGCTTTTTCTCCTCACTGCGGTGGCTTCATCCTCGCCTCAACTCGCGGCGGAAAAAAATACCACCAGACGAAGGCGGAGGCTGCCCGGGGTCTCTACCATACCCCCTCCCCGCAACACGTCAGAGAAAAAGGCGCTCAGCCTTCCCAGGATCTCCCTTCCTCCCCTCCCCTGAAGGCGGCTGAAGGGCACAAAGGGGGTGCGCGAGTCTCTTAAAAGACTGACACCTCCGACGGACACGCCCCCTCCTTACCTTGCGTCTGATCGGAAGCCGAACCTACTCCGAACAACTCCGGATCCGGGTTAGTTCCGCACCTGAGTGCCGGCTCCAAATCATTCTCCGAGCCCCGGGCGCGAAGATACCCGCAACACTTTTCCTAGACTTTAGTCTTTCCTGAAGACGAGCTCCTTCTTGCTGCTGGCCCTCCCACGCAAGCGCGCAGAAAGGCGGCCAGGCCACCACCCACTTGAAGGAGACGTCTGCCACCAATCTCCGGGATGGACCCATCTGCGGCTGCGCAGTTGCTATGCGAGTTTCTTCATTCCGACTTGCCACCCCTCCTTCCCGAGGGTGTGTTCGGGAGAGTCTCGGGTGTTAATTGCTCCCGCGAGGAGTTGCGTTTCGGACGCTGGCTTCGGTGGTACGGTTGGGACGAGCGGATGCGATTGTCTTCCTTGCTTCCCGAACTTTTTGGGAAACGGGATTTAGAGTTTGCTGGGGGAAGAAATTCTGGAGCTGATTTGCCAGCCCCGGTATTAGGGGCATTCCAAATAATTACGATTTTTTTATAATAAATGGGTTACATCGTGGATCGGCAGGAGAAGACAAGTGCGTTTCCTAACCTAAAACCTGGTTAGCGCATCCAAGGTTCCTTCTGTACCTAGGCAGTTTCGCTGAGAAAAGTAACGAATACCTATAGACTGGAAATCCCAAAGTTACTTTTTCAAAAGGCAACTTGACTTTGTTTTTCCTTGAAGACATTTCACTTTTCATCCAAGAAGCTTCTTCAGTTCTGAAGAAACACCTTTGGGACGACCATGACCTGGATGACTGAGAATCTCCATAGACATAATAGACTGGAAAGTGTCCGGAACGTTGGAACATGAAGCAAATAGAAAAATACCTTTATACAAAGTATTTTACTAATTTCTGAAATAACTTAATACATAATCCCATGTAATATATTTAGTCCACACGTAGGACGTTTTTGCAAAACACTGAAACAAATACCTCACCCACATTTAAGTCCCTAACTGACCAGGTTTGGGGATTGAGGCTATGTGGGTAGGGCTACACTATGCTGGGGAGTCTAAAAGAAGAGTGATAAAGCACTTTTGTCCATGACCAAGGAAACTGCTCATTAAGCTCTCCCAGGTTGGAGTCTTAAATATTGGACAAACTCAGACTTTGTAGCTATTTTTGATTTTTGTAGTATATAAAGCCTGACATCCATAGGTAAGGATGTGTGAGCATAGCCAAAGATTTGTAGCATTTACTTATATTGTGTTTTTTTCTGATTTGTGCCTAACTACAGCACAAAGATGTCCTGCCAATATCTTTTCTATCATGATCTGATGACTTTGCCTTCATCTCATCTCATCTATTTTGGAAAAGAGACAGCTACTTTAAGGCATTGCATATAAGTGCTATGTTTGCACTCCTGTATTCTCCAGAGCAGAGATCTAAATCAGAAATACTTCACAATTTCCATCCTTTTATCTGGTGTTAGTGTAAATCCTTAACCATGGCTAAAGTTGATGCAAAGAAATACATGTTTGAAAATAAACTTTGCGGAGTGCACAAGTAAAAGCAACTTCTTGCCATACACATTATTTCTAATATTTTTGGGTCAATGTGACAATTGCATTTTAAAATATCCAGATAGTTATCAGAGTCATATTAATCGCACAGATCAAGCTGAAATGTCTGCAGTCCAGACAAAACTAGGGCTTTTTTTGTCATAGAACACCCAGAACGGAGTTCCGGTACCTTTTTTGGATGGAACCTTGTAGGATAGGCAAGGCGGGTTGTATGATGTGTGAGTTCCAGCATCTTTTTTTAACAAAAAAAGCACTGGATAAAACTATAATACTGTAGTCAGTATATCAGAAGTTCTCTAATCCATTAGAGTCCTAGATAGGGTTCACTTAGAGCAAGCACGTCAAACTTGCGACATCACGTGACGTCGCACGATGTATCAGAGCTTTTTCGCCATTGCCGGCAATGGGTTGGGCGCGGCTCCGGTATGATGAAACCGGCGTGTGGGCTGGCAGTTTGACACCCCTGACTTAGAAGTATCAAAGTTTTTATTGGAGTTCAAACTTCAGAAGTTCATAACGTTAAAATAATGTGTGAATTCCAAACTGTGGGCATATATTTAAATTTTCTTTGGTTAGGAACGAATCCTTTGTCCAAGAAGTATTCTTTAGCTAGGAACTTTACTGACTTTCAACAGAAAAGGTTACTGATAAAAAATTGGCCTCAGATATAATGGAATTAACAGAAAGAGGCCCCAAAAGGTATTAGTCTAGAACAGGGATGTCAAACTGGTGTACCTTGGGCTGGATGTATCATGTGTAGGCCACACCCACCCCAGCTCCACAAAGGCAAAAAAGTCACAATACATCATGATACATCACATGACGTAATTGAGTTTGACACCAGTAGTCTAGAAACATCAGTGAAGTCAGATCATTACTCTTCTAATGCTGGGTTTGATCTGAATGTTATATCTAAAAGGAATTTTACAGTTCAGAGGATTCCTTCAGTTACCATTGGACTGAAAGCTGAGGTATATTGTGCTATACTTAAAATACTGCATTTTCAGGATCTTTTTCACAGAAAGTTAAAATAGTTGATATGGCCTAGCATTTTATTCCGAAATAGACTTTGAAGAGTGAGATGAGGGGAATATCTTCAGGGCTATAGGAAATATCATAAAAGATCTGCAGAAAATAGTCTCTCAGAATTTATTTTTGGTCATGCTTGCCAAGAAGAAATTTTGTGAATGGGAAAGCCCCCAGACTGACAATTTATGCTACAGTTTAAATTTATAATACAATTTAAAATTTTCAGATGTAGCCATGCTCCAAAAACATTCTAATAGCTTGTTTTACAGATTTTAGAGGAAAAATATAATGTTAAAGTTATTCAAATTATACAAAATATTTAAGAAGTATTACAACAGAGATTCACTCAAATGATTATGACAATATACACATATAACATAATTATTCATAGGCAAGACTTCCAAATAAAAAATCAGTGATGATCCAAAAAGGCTGAGCTTACATATCTGTTTGAGGTAAATTGGCAGTAGCTTAGCATGTTATATGAAGCTTGTTAGTATGGTTTGTAAACTGTGGACTAAAATATATGTAAGGTAAACCACAGCTTAATGCAATATATGAAGCTAGTCACTAGAAAAAATAGTGTTTCCATAGTCATTGTATTTCCATACATTTGATATTCTTAGCAAAAGAAACCTTATATCACATCACATAATCATTTATATGTGCAGTATTAACCTGAATGCACTTAATAATCAATGTGAACCCAACATTAATTTGTATTGCACACACATTTACAAGGTAGCTTCAACTTTCTGATAAAGAGATCTGGTGAAGCAATGGTCACAGGCAGTGTTTTTATACATGTATAGCTTAATCTAATATACCTACAGATTAATATTTTCTCCTAATTAGATCAATATATAAAAGCCCTCCAATTTCCTAAAACAAAAGGTTTTGTTTGATCATGAAATCATTCTTTCAAATATATACCTGCACAAGGCAATTGATTTTTATGTAGATCAGGTTGAATCCCATTATGTCCTCTTTTTGATCAATCTACATGAACAGGACAGGGAGATGCAACTGGAACCAATTTTGTGTATCTGTACCCTATGAAAATGTGCTCCAGAAGAAATGGAAATCAGTAAACCAGTCATTTATCCAAGTGAAAAACATTCAATGTTGCAGAGAAATTAGTAAATGATTGGATTTTAATGCAAATCATAAGATGTTGCCTCATACTTAAAAAGAAACAAGAAGTATAAGATATATTGAAAAGTGGGAAATTGAAACCCTTAATTTCCATCACATATAAAATATAGTCTGTGGTGTCAGGAATTGACAGGACTTGGAGTCTAACTATATATGGAAAGTGAACGGTATCATTTTCATACTACAAAAGAGCAAGGAGAGAGAGTTTAAGAGGTTACGAACAAGCCTTGATTAAGAAAAAAGTTCTTTCTAGTGTTCTGTCAATGAGGAAGAGCATCAATAAAAGAAGCTAATTCAAAAAAGAAAACAAAAGAAAACAGGTCTTAAAAAAGAGGAAATGTGCTCTGCTGAAAAGTAAATAGCATGCAAAACATTGAACACATAGAGAAAAATGTTTTCTAACCCATGGAAACAATCTTGACAAGGAACTAAATTAAAGGGCCAGCTTAGAAAAGAGAAGAAAATGGAGAACATTTTCAGAAACAGTAGCAGGAGAGTGATAGAATTATGCAGAAGGGGGATTAGTAGGTTCTGCTAGCAAAGCACTCTGTGAGATCAGAAACTGGAGGAAGTCTTTAGAAGAATGTAATAAAGTCTTCTGTTCACAGACGGAGACCTCTGAATACAATCCATGAACAATAAATTATATATTCACTTATTTTCAACACAGAAATTGTTAAGTTACTTAAATGGTAAAATGGCCTGATTTTATGGTTACACTTTCCTGAATTAAGGTTGAATTATAGTTCACTGCAGGTGTTCCACAGATGCATAACCCCTTGCATGTTTTCAGCTTTTCCTTCTGCTTTCCATCAACAAGCAGCTTTTACATTTGTCTTTATCTGTGTCCCTGATAGGGAAATTATGAAGGAGTTCTTTAAAGGTGCTCCTTTAAAAGTTTCTTATGTTCAATGGAGCATGGAGGGAGTTTAAGAGTCCTAAATTATGAAACAAAATGTTAAGGAAGTTGCCACTTTTACACACAGATTTACATTTTCCTAAAAAAAAAAAACAGTATCTTATTTCATAGTCACTGTCTCTTTGAAGTTGTGATGATTATTTTCTTTAGATCCTGTGGAATGAGAACTTGGCATTCTGCTGGGGTTTGTATTGGAAACCGAAGAAGAAAAGCTGTCCTGAGCAATATACGTTTGACAACATGAACATTCAGGAAAAATCCATTCTTGGGGTTTTAACTCTTTTTTGTACTGATTGTTCTTAAAAGTAATCTTTTCCTCTGACAATGTATTTTCTTTCCTTTGCTGCAAAGCACTTTCTTTCTCTTCCAATGTACGAGCAAGCATATAACTAACCTTCCTTTGATGAGCCAACATTTCCTCCTTATCGTTCAGCTATAAAAAGAAAATAAAAATCAATATAGCTGTCAAACAGTCTGTCTATCTTCAGACGCATATAATACTATTAATATAGACACTGAAACCAGGTAAGAGATACCAACCAGGTCTGTTAGTGTCCTAATGATCTCCAGTGGATTA